TACTACTCACGTAATCTACAGACAAATACCTCAGGAAAATATACCCATTCAATAAAACACTGTTTAAGTCGGGAAATCTTTCGGATGATTTTTATTTCAACCGTACCTTGGCTGCCTTAAACCATCTGAAATATCGGGTCGTGAAAAATATGAATTACATAATACACCAAAGTGTTTCACTACCGAAATTTTATTATAAATTGATAATTATCTACGCCAAATCTAAATTCGTTTTCGCAACTCCGCAGAAGCTGTTCATTACGAGAGCTTAGTAATGGAACAAATCAGTTTCGTATTTTTATTATGCAAGTAATCACTGCTTAACATCGGAAAGAAATCATTTGTCATTCATTATGAAATAACGTTTTGCGAATATTTTCTCGCAACGGCAATAAGCGTTCTATCATTAACGCTGTCGGGTCGTAGATATATTATTGTATAGATCTTTAATATCCGAATAATAACCTAAATATTGATCGTACATAATAGTTGTCATTTTTATTATAGACGACAGATAAACATAGGGTTCACGCGGTGAAAAGTGAAATATGAGAGGCATACGAGATGCGCTATCGACTTATGACCTTCGTTGCTTTTTCATCGGTGGACGGTGGCTCGTGTACGGACGAAATTTTAATATTTCTACAACCTTTAAACAAAACACTTATTGATTACTGTCTGTAGTTTATCTGGGTAGTACACATTTAAATAAAACATTTTTAACGCTTTAAAACGCAAAATATATTAGTAAACTTTTTACGAATTATGTTAGTAAAAGGAATTTAACTACGACCCGATGTTTCAGATGCTTTGCAGCAGCCGTGAGCACGGGTAACCTATGTTATAAGTTAACGAATACATTTCGCGTTTGAAGCCGTTAAAAGTACTTTACTACCCATTTAATATCCAGATTTCTCAACAAACTCCTACTTGTTTTAAAGTTATAAATGCATTTATAAACTCTCGACTCGTTGATAAGCCAATCTTTACTACCTATTAGATCAAGCCGTCTGTCAGAATGTGAAACTCGTGTAGACTACAGTCTATGGTGTATAACAGTTAACAAAGATCTATTGGTAAGCGAATAAAGTAACAAACAGTTAACTAACTTGGCTTCCAAGTTTACCTACTAATTAGCAAGGGCGTTAAATGAAGCCTGCGAACCGTAAATTGTAGGACAGTAACGGGCGAATTTAACTAGAAATGTTTATTACAGGCGCGGACATGTTTAATTAATGAAGGAGAAACAAATCCTTACTTATATATAAAGCTGAAGAGTTTGTTTGTTTGTTTAAACGCGCTAACCTCAGGAACTACGGGTTCGGATTGAAAAATTGCTTTTGTGTTGTGCTGTGACTAATAGAAGCGAAGATACAGCGTGAAAAGTGAACAACTCTGTGGGTTTCAGTTGCGTACGCAGCGAAAACGGTTCAAGATAACTAAAAAATGTTTACGAAAGAATTATTCTTATTTAAATGATCTACAAAAAAGTCCGCGACGCTATATGTCTATCTTTTAAGATTAGCTTGCAAGAACGTTGGGAAGGTACGCGATCGATGTCGTGGCTAACAGCCTAAGTTTATAAAGACGGGGTTTGCAGAACCTAATTTGGATGCCCAAAATAACGATTCTCGCGGACGAAGACGCTGGCACAGTTACATATAAGATTGATTTCTTTATAGTATATACTAGCTGCGCCCGCAACTACGTGTGCTTGGAATAGATATTTTGGGATTGTTATTCATTTTTGGAGTCTGTCTGTTTGAATGCGCTAATCTCTGGAACTACTACTTCGAATTGAACAAATATTTTTGTGTTAGTTGAACTACTTATCAAGGAAGGCTTCAGGCGATAAGACATAAGGCTGCGACTCATAGGAACGAAGAAACAGTAAGAAATAAAAAAAATAATAATCTTTGTAGCTTTCGTTGTGTACGCTGCTATCTTTCAAGATGAACTTGCAATAACGACGGGACGCGGACGACGGTGCGTAACAGCTATGATTTGTAAAGATAAGGAGGAAGCTGACAAAAACTAATTTTAATGCCACAAAATAGCTATTCCACGAAGACGAAATTGTTTCCCATTTCATCGCAGTGAATATGTTTAACAATTTTATTAACCAAGTTAAATGCAATATTATAAAAAATACTTAGAAATCAAGATCCTCTCTAAGAATTTTTTTTTTTATTCTTTTTTATTTTATAAGCATCTTATGATTAAGTCAGCTAAAATATTTATTTCAGCAGTTTTTCTGAAATTCCCAACAGATATTGGTTCGTTACTAATGCTCAGCTAATCCGTACAACGGCTGCAAATATAACGCGTTTTACCTTTCATTTGAAATGTTTAATTATGCTCGTGCACATAATGCTTACAGAAGCTTAGCAATATTGATATTGAATATAATCTATGTTAGAAAATTATAACGTAGATTTATTTAGTTGATATACATATATAGGGTAATGTTTAAATTTGTATGTGCGAAATTAAAGTAATTGTTGTTGCATTTATTTATTAATACAAGTAAAGATAAAGCGAGAAATGTGAAAAAAATTGGGACAAATTATTCATCATTATGGCTTTCCGAGGAAAGCCGGAAAAACTGAAAACGGTTCAAGCTACCCAAAAAATATGTATAAAAGAATGATTTCTCTTTAAATGATCTAAAAGAAAGTCCGCGACGCTCTATCTCTCTAGATGAACTCCCAAGAACGACGGGAACCGAACGACGGGACGCGACCGATGGCGTAGGTTAGGACAGTGTGCAAAACAATTTTTGATGCCCAAAATATTTAAATAAAACACTTTAACGGTTTAAAACGCGATATCTTAGTTAAACTTATTTGCACTGCACTGCAAAGCATCCGAATTGTCGGGCCGAAGTTAAAAATCATTTTTAAATAAGTTTAACTAATATATCGCGTTTTAAACTGTTAAAGTGTTTTATTTAAATGTGTACTACTCGCGTAAAGTATAGACAGTATTTAATGCCCAAAATACCTATTCTACACGGACGAAGTCGCTGACCCAGCTAGTATTACATAAAAAGAATTACCCGAAAACAAAACAAAACCGCCAAGTTAAAACCGCTATTTTTTTTTCATTTTGACGTTACTTCAGGCGTAATATGTCACATATTGGGATGCGCAGAAAATTTTAATTTCCCTACATACATAGACCGCCTCCATACTGGTATGGCTATATATGGTATGGTATGGTATAACCTAGCATTGCGATAATCACGGATTCCTGAGTTTAACTCCTGGTTAAATGACAAATTTAAAACACGCTTAACAGTTTTATACGCAAAACATATACGTCAATTAAGACGACACCTTTTTTATTTACATTTTAAGCAATTAAAGGTGTTTTATTTAAATGTGTACTTCTCGCTTAAACTACAGCATATTTAAACTAATCAACTGGAACCTGGAAATAAAAATCATCCAGACGAAATCCAAAATGTTTCAGAAAAAATATAAATTGAATAGATATATTATGTTAGAGCCGGTGGGGATGGAATCAAGGACCCGTTGTTTATTACCATACGTTACTACTATTAGACCAACGAGATTTAACATAACGACACTGTATCATACTTCTACCCATTGCGTTATAATTAAATGAAATTTCTTAATTACTTCTCGTGATGAAGGAGAAATTTCCTAATCATTACGAATTGCTTAGTGACAGGAGATCATAGTCAAATTTAACTAAGCTTGAATGACGTTAATTAACTAACCGTAATTAAACATTTATAATAATAAAATACTGTCTATAGTTTACGCGAGTAGTACACATTTAAATAAAACACTTTAACGGTTTAAAACGCGATATATTAGTTAAACTTATTTGGAAATGATTTTTAACTTCGGCCCGAAGTTTCGGATGCTTTGCAGCAGCCGTGGTCACGGGCCGAAGTTAAAAGTCATTTCCAAATAAGTTTAACTAATATATCGCGTTTTAAACCGTTAAAGTGTTTTATTTAAATTTATAATAATATTAATCTGTGTCTACATATGTTTGTTTATTTCGTTAAACGCAGTTATTATTGTAGTCTAACTAACCTGGCAAACGTTTTTTTGCCATATGAAATATTTTAACCAAGTTAAATGATATAAAAACGGTTTTTATGAATATATTAAATCATAGACATATACTATCACGGACATTTTTAAAATTATTTAATGAGAAATAGTTTTTACATGTATATTTTTTGGTGCCTTGTACCAAAAAATATACATGTAAAAACTATTTCTCTCGTAACGTTTTCATCTTTGAGAGTATCCGTAGCGTACAGACGATTATTACATCTCCACTATTCCTTCGCTGCTGCTGTCATCAACAACTGTCATGTAATGTTACGCCTATAGACTTCTTCGATGATGAATGCTCTAATAAAAAAAAATAATTCCAACCAGTAGTTCCTGAGATTAGCGCGTTCAAACAAACAAATACTTCTTTATAATGTTAGTATAGATATAACATGTCTTAACTCTGTAAAGGAAAACGTTCCAAGTACTATATTTGCATAAATTCATCACTTCCACACTCGGTTGCTTTAAATAATTTGACAAAATGATTGATAGTCTCTTTGTTTTGCAACGGGAGGTTGTTTTCGCTACAATATTTCTCTCTCTGGATCTCCGATATAATTGCGTACCAAAAATACAATAAATATTAAGAAACCCTGAAAGGTATTTAATTTAAATGGGATTCATCAACTTGAAGAACTCATGGAGAAAACTTAGTAATTTGTATGTCTGTTGGCTTAGCTGTCTTCGTCAAGACTGTCTAGAAGGTTACTTGATGGAAGATGTGTCAAGTTGGCTTTTTTATATAATAGAAGATAGGCAAGCATGTGGTTTACTTGGTCTATTTTGGCTTTGGATATTCGGAAATACACACACTGAAACCTAAACGCAATGAAATTTGACGGCTTATCCAGATTTTCAGACGAAGTCCAACATGTTTCATAATATTTTTACTTGTTGCAGGGTCTCCGTGGCAGGTGGAGGTGATGGCAGGGCCGGCGGGTGGCGGTGGTGGCGAGCCCACCAGACTGATCCCCGCACGGGTGCCAGCCGTCTTCGAGATATCAACGGCCCCTGGCGCTTCCACCATTAACAAAAATGAGGTAGGTCTTGGTATAAAGCTAAAAACTGTTTTTTTATTTTTATTTTATTGTACATTATAATGGTATTGTCTATAGTTCAGGGGAGTAGTACATATTTAAATAAAACACTTTTAACAGTTCAAAACGCAAAATATGTTAGATGGTTTACTTTTAATTTATTTCAAGTGTCCCCGTGTGCCCACGGCTGCTGCAAAGCATTCGGATCGTAGTTGCAATAAGTTTAAAATGAGTTAAATTTATATATTTTGCGTTTGAGACCGTTAAAAGTGTTTATTTAAATATTTGCGTTACTCTAGTTTATTGTCTATCGTTGATACTCATATATTATACTTACATTCATTTTTTTAGTAATTCATTTATGTAATTAGTGACCTTTTTTTATTTCATATCACTTCTTCTATAAAGCCCTACGTTTCGATACCTTTCTCAAATAACAGACAATCTATTGCAAAAGTGTTTTCATAAAGTGTAGGTCACGTTTTGCAGTCACTTGAGGTGTTATTAAAAACATAGCGCGTAAGTGTATTTATCGTCTCATGGATGCTTTTTAGCAAGTCATTTGAAGTGGGAAGAATTTAGGCGTATGGCGGATGTGGAGGCAAAAATGGAGCTCCAATATTGTACTGATCGTTAAAGTGGCATCGTCACGTACACCACTACTTTTAGCGAAATAAATATCGATGTTATGGAGTTTCTTACAAAAATCTGTCAAACTGCTGTTACGTGTGCTGTTGGCGAGGTCATTTGCTCTGTACACTCGTGAGCCTTTGTCCAGGTCTTCAAACTTTTATTCTAATTGCGGTGGACCAAGTCAAAACCGATGCCTCCCCGGGATCTCCCTTTATCTAGCCGCAAACTCGCCAAAAGTCCCGGTTATTGACGGTCACGCGACATACACTATAATCAATAAAAATACAATCCTGCGCAGCGTTTCTACTAAATTGCCTATTTGAGAAGCTCCTTGTCTTATTTCTTATTTGAGAAATTGTTCTGTCTTGTTAAGAATAATTTCTCTATTACAAAAGCGTACATCGTAATCACAAAAATCTTTCAAAATTACCGAGATAGCTTTATAGAAATGATTCATATGGTCTGTAGTTTACGCGTGTAGTACACATTTAAATAAAATTCTTTTAACGGGTCTAAACGCGAAATTTATTAACTTTTTCACAATTTATTTTAAATACAGCCCGTGTTCAAAGGCGTGGAACGTGGGATCGTAGTCATACCTAATAAATTGTAAATGACTTAACTAACATATCTGACGTCTTAAACCAATAAAAGAACCGAATTAAAACATTCGGTCTCAATGTGAGAATACTTCATCGATTCACAACCTTCTTTTGTTTTACCACCCTTATTAAAGAAAAAATATTTCGCTCAGAAGCAAACCTCTATAATTTGCTTTAATAAACTTATAAAATAATAATAATATTTAAAGAAAATCATAGACACGGTTAAAATTCAAACCTACTGTCTGTTTTCCGAATTGTTTATATTATGCAGTGCTGGTTTACAATAAAGGTATATTTAAAATATATATCCCATTACTTTTGTGGCAGCCATTTTGTAACGAAAGTTGTGCTGCAGTTACATGAAAAACTAATTTTTTAAACACCCACCGTTCGAGGTGAAAGGGAATTCTGTAAACTTTATAACGCGTCCATTTGAAAAGTGAGCCGTACATTGCAAAGCGCAAAGGGTTTGTAATAAAAAAGGCTTTGTATACCTGCCTATTATGTTTGCTTCAGAGTAGAAGCTAAAATGTTTTAAAACGAACAAAGGATACGTTAAAACTTTATTATTTTCACATGCAATATGTTCATTAAAAATCTATTTTTAAAGAAATAAAATCTATAACAACATCGGGGCTCGAACCGTTGAGCTATCGTGTCTCGTTCGCATTCGTTCGTACCTAGCATCAAGTGATTCTATCATAACCAAAATACACAAATAGGTACATTTTAACAAAGAATCCAGGTCAATTTCACCACGAAAAACAAAATAGGTCTTGACAGGAATTTGATCTACAAGTCGAATGTGCTGAAATATCGTAGTTTCGTCTAGGTCCATCGTCCACAGATGCAATTCGGTTTTAGTCTATGGATTACCGAATGGCCAAAGCCACACAACAAAGTGAACATGTTGTCTGTGCTCTTTCATACTCAAATTGCCATTTTCCGCTTACAGGTTGGCGTCACCGTAACAGCACCATCACGGCGATTGGTGACTTCGAGGGTTTTAGATGTAGCTGAAAGACCTGGAGTGTATAGGATTGAATTCACTCCAGATGAAGTTGGCACACATCTTATCGACGTAAGTAATTTTAATATTATACCAAAGCAGACCATTTTGATAGGTCGTAGGTTCGAATCCTGATTTTCAGACAGAAGCTTTAAATCCATACTAATATAAAAAGCTGAAGAGTTTTTTTTGTTTGAACGCGGTTTTGTTAATCTCAGGAACTCCTGGTTTGAATTGAAAAAAATATTTTGTTTTGGCTAGAGCATTTATCGAAAAGGCTTTAAAAATCGCGCTGTAACTAATAGGCGCGAAGAAATAGCGGGAAACATGAAGAAAACGTGGAAATTGTGGGTTTCCGCTACGAACATGGCTCAAGATGCCCAAAAATATGGATGAAAAATTGATTCCTTTTCAAATGATCTCAAAAAATGTCCGCGACAATATGTCTATCTTTTTAAATTAACTTGCAAGAATGACGGAACGCGGACGACGTCGTCGACGTCGGTCACGATTTGTAAAGATGAAGAGGAGTTTTGTAAACTAATTTTTATGCCCAAAATACATGTTCTATGCAGACGAAGTTGCTGACATAGCTAGTATAAAAAATACTAGTCTATGTCTAACGTAGAATAAACAGCTTTTCACTTGTAAATACACAAAATAATTGCAATAGACTAAAGTTAATGTTAGTTTTAGTATTATTAATCTGCTGCAAGCAGACGATAAATTGTGACATTAATTATAATATTTTAGTCCTGATCAATTCTCGATAGTCCCATTAGTGAAAAGGAAATTATATTCTACCAAAATACTAGTGTTAATTTGAAATTCATGTTAATTTCACTTAGCCATTCCATGTAGTGAAATATGGTGTCGCATATATGTATGATAAACAAAACCTGTATTTTGAACTACCGTTTGCCATTGCTTCGTCTGTCTTTTAAAAAGGCTTTCGGCAATAAACTAAATTATATTTTAAAATATTTTTTTACTTAGATTTAAGTATAAATCTCAATGTTTACTAAAAATATCAATATTATCACCAATCAATAACTGTACCAATACTTTGAGGGATAAATTTTTTTATTTATTGTTACGTTTAAATGACACTTTTAACGGTTTTAAGCGCGAAATATATTAGCCATATGTCTCTTAAAAATATTTATCTACGTGTGGTAGACAATTCTAACATTCAATTAAAAATCGATTTTACACAGGCGGGGCTTCAACCCGATATTAAATATGTGGTATAAATATCGAAATTCCATAAGGGCCACGTACCGCAGTCCACAGATGAAAAAGGCGCTATTTTAATCGCGTTTCGATTTTAGTCTGTAGTTTCTAAATAGACAACATTCAAATGATGGACAGGGCATTTTATTTAGTTGTCATATGACTGGGATATTTCATTCACCATCGACTGAATCCAATGTTTGTCCGGCCTTCTCTAACTTCAAAAAAAAATCCACCAGTTTCCAAATCATGGGCGTAGAACTTACGAGAATCGGCAAGTAACTCGCCGCCACTTATTATACCACATTTGGTTTGGAACAAAGTCAAAGTCAAAAATCATTTAATCTTGTAGGTATGAACACTTATGAACGTCACAAAACTATAGAATCTAAATTTATCACCAGTTGTCAAATCGAGGGCGTAGAACGAACGAGAAGAGCTGGCAATAAACTCGCCGTGACACTTATAGTTAATCTTATAAAATTCTCGTGTCACGGTGTTCGAACTTGAACTCCTCCGAAACGGCTCGACCGATTTTGATCAAATTTGATATGTGTATTCATTAGGTCTGAGAATAGGGCAACATCTATTTTTCATCCCCCTAAGTGATAAGAGTTGTTCACCCTTAAATTTTATGATACAACATACAAAAATACATACAATTCTCAATTTTCACCCTTCTACGATCAACCCTTATTTTTTAATAGACGTTTTAGTAAAATTATTTATATGGCAAAACAACGTTTGCCGACTCAGCTAGTGTATATATAATTATTCTATAGATTTATTGAGAGAAATCTTGACAGATGTAGACCATCTGACCCATCGAGCCGCGGAAAGGACAACGGCCCACCTATTTACGCCGTCGTAAACGTAAATACGCAGGTTCACAACACAAAAACAGTAGGCCAGCCTTAAATGAATTGCTTTCCACATAAATAATCAGTACAAGGGCGGGCCAACTGTAAAAAGAGAATCAAAGAGATTTCATTATTTCGTTCTGGTATTGTCTGATGCTATTATCTGTTGGTACAACTTTGTACTTTCATTTTTGTATTGATTTTTTAACTCTTGCCTCTAGAGTTTATGTTGTGACCCTGTTTTTATGGTAATAATGTTTTAGGTAAAACACTTTAACGGTTTAAAACGCGATATATTACGGAGAGTCCCCCCATGACCAAAGCTGCTGCAAAGCATCCGAAACGTCAGGCCGTAGTTAAAAATAATTCTCTAAAAGTTTAACTAAATAATATCGCGTTTTAAACCGTTTAAGTGTTTTTAAATGTCTACTACTCGCGTAAACTACAAACGGCATTTAGGTACTAATGCTTTACTATAACATTTGTTTAATAAATAATTAGATAAACACATTTCTATAAAACATTAAAAAAAATGATGTTTAACGGTTCAAAACGCTAAATACATTAATTAACTTGTTTTACGTTGATTTTAACTACGGCCCCACGTTAATGTGTCGCGGTCCATGGCTGCTGCAAAGCATCCGAAACGTCGTCGGGCCGTAGATAAAATAATTTAAAATAAATTAAATAACGAATTTAACGTCTTTAAACTTTACAAGTGTTTTATTTTAATGTGTAGGTACTATTTCTGTGAACTACGGACAATACTTGGATTAGCCCAATTTATTCTTCATAAATTTCCAATAAAATGAAACAAAATAATAACAGTAGAATATATATACTTGCATTTACACATGATTATTATTGGAACAGTATTTTAGAGAGATTGAAAATACGAGGCTCTGTTTTCATAACGAGGTCAATCATCACTCCAACATTATATACTAGCTTTGTCCGCAATTTTGTTCGTCTTTTGGGCATCACATTTTGTTTCTGCAAAACTCCTCGTCTTTATAACCTACTATTGGTCGTAGCGTGATGTTCTAGATATATACTTAAATCCTTGCTGATGAATGCTCTAACCGACACAAAAATAATTGTTCAATTCGAACCAGTAGTTCCTGATATAAGCGCGTTCAAACAAACGAACTCTTTACTTTATAATATAGACCTATTTTTTACTCAGCCCAGTAGTGCTTTGCCTACATTAACTGACATGGGGGGGGGTGTTTCAGGTGTCAATCGGCGAAGAAAAACTCGCTGCAGGTCCACTAATCGCAAAAGTGTACGACGCCAGTCTCATAAAAGTGACCGACGTGGGAAACGCGACTGTCGGACAACAAAGCCAATTTCGAGGTGACCCCTTCTTACTATTAACATTTTTACTAAAGTATCTAATTACAGTGTAAACTCATATGACTTAGAACTGAACATATTTTGACGTTAAATAGAGAACAATTCAAATTTAAAAAAGGAACAGTATTTCGATTTTAGACTGAAAAAAACTAACAAACAGCTAGGACTTGAACCGGTGTCCACTGCGTTCCGTGCTGTTTGCCAATTGACCTACCCAAGTTCTACCCAAGTCGCAAATTTTTCAATTTATAATGGATTTTAATTTATATAATGCCATCGTGTAATATCATGTGAAAAGTATGACAGTGAATTCTGAAGAGTTACGCCTTTTAAGCCGTTATAAATGCTCCATTTAAACCTCTGAAGATGTTTATCACGTCCCTTGTCTTCTTATGAAGTATTCCAATTAATTAACATAATCTTGTGAAGTAATGGGTGCTTAATTAGAATTCTTTTTCGCTTTATAGTGGACGCGAGTGCTGCGGGCGAAGGGCAATTAGAAATTTCAATCAACGAAGGCGAAGTCCCTAATCACGTTCAAGTAAGCTTACTCTGTTCAATATGTAATATGAGGCTAGAGGCAGAGTAGCCTATCTGCAATTTTATGACTTGACTTTTATAATCTAAAAATATTAATCTTTAAGAGCACAGTGTCCGAAAATTGTCAACATAATTCTTACACAAATAATAGTACAAATTCATTTTAGGATTTATTGAAAATCATGTGTTTTGTTATAAGGCCACTCTGCCTCTAGCAGCCTCCTATTAATTCATTTTTTTTATAATAAAAGAGGACAGACTTCCACTTGATAATAGATAAACTATATATAAAACACTTTAACCGTTTAAAACGCGATATATTCGTTAACTTATATTATGATATATCGTATAACTTATTTGAAAATAACTTATGACTTCGTTCCGACGTTTCGGATGCAATGCAGCAGCCGTGGTCATGGGGAGTCTAAAGAAGGAGGATGTCTCTGACATCAAAGTAAAAAATTGCTACGCTAGCGCCATCTGTTCCGTCGAAGTTACTATTTGGCGAAACTGGCCGGGTCTTTACAGAATTGACTAACGGCGTCTTCGCGTTTGCCGCTATGCTGTTCCATACCGCATAAACAACGTCGAGCCGAAGTTAAAATCATTTTCAAATAAGTTTAACTAATATATCGCGTTTTAAACCGTTAAAGTGTTTTATTTAAATGTGTACTACTCGCGTAAACTATAGACAGTATTTATCCTAGCGATGTAACATCTAAACAAGATGCGCTATCGATCTATTATGGCTGGTTGAATATTCGAAAATCCACAGACTGCCAAAACGCAATTAAACTTGACGGATTTTTTATCTGTGGGGGTGGTTCGTGATCGGATTTAATATCAAGATATCCATACGAAGTCCATGTTTCAGAAAAAATATAAATGGAATAGGAAAATGCTATGCCCTGTGGGGACGATTAATAAATAAATTTCATAATTAATAATGATTTCGCCGCTAGAATGAAAATCGGCAGCGAAAATAGAGGCTATCTAGAATATTAGGTTTTGTTTTTAGAGAAACCATTGTTAATCTCTGAAACTTATATATTTTGATTCTGATCGTAACAAATAATTTTGGCCGTATATTGGATATTTTGGTGTAGTATCTAAGGGGGCAATTCTTAAGCAAATAATCATAATTTTAATATACTAGGGTTAATCATTTAAGCTGCTTTATTATTCTATAATTGACAATTCTTATCAATATTTATTCTCTAAATGTAGTATTAAACAAGAAATAATAACAATAAGAAATATTTTCGGCTTATCAAACGTTTATTGTAGGTGGTCGGTGGGGGCCGGTGTCTGGTCTTCTGGAGGCCAGAAACGCCGACACCTCATCGTGTAGACATAAAATTTAATGGAGAGCCAGTACCTTCATCCCCCTTCGTTTTTCACGTAGCACCTGCGCAGAGAGTCACTATTGATACGTCACAAATTGGTAAGCGATAATTAGATAATAATATATCATCGATAAGTAGATGTGATACCAATTTTACAAAGGCATTAAAGGTGTTTTGTAATTATTTGATTTGTTATTTTAATTAATTAATTACTGTCTTTTACTTGGCACACTTGCATCGTGTTTTATAATGTTATATAATTAGAAAGTCTGACTTGTATCATGGAAATTTTTAAGCAGAATCGTTTAAATAAGGATTTTTGACAAATTGCAACAATACATATTATGCAAATATTTGCGATATTTTAAAATTTTGATAATAATAATATCTGTGAACGATATATCGTATCGATTCTGTGTTGACTTTGGTGACAGTTAATGTCAATGGTAAATGACAATTGACTTTCCATTGGGTAATGACACATTGACACTAAAGTTCAAGTACAGCTTTGTTTTCAAATAACTTACAAATATCGATGGTATTAATAAGCTCAGATTACAATTAAAACGTTTATTTCAATTTTATCGATGTTACATAACATTTCTCTTAACAGAATTAATTCCTGTCGGTGAGTTGGTATCATGTTCTGTACGAGTAGAAGGTTCAGGAGGTGGAGAGCTGAATGTGACCGTCAAAGGGCCAAGAGGCGAAGTCCCTGTACGCCTCACTGGAGATGTTGTTTCTGGCCTAGTGGCTAGCTTCACTGCTAAACATGTTGGACCACACACACTTACAGCACATTATAACAATCAGCCAGTTTCAGTAAGATTTTACGCTGCTTTATTATTATTATTTATTTCCAGACAAACGTTTTAGTATCTGTGTCTTCTTACAGGGCACGCCATTTGTATGCAAAGCATATGACAGTAAGCTTGTAAGTGTAACTGGGGGCACTCTAGCCCGAGTGGGTGTACCTGTGCAGCTGGCCGTAGATGCTGCACAAGCTGGGGAAGGAAACCTTGAAATAACAGTTGCAGCTCGGGGTCTTAATATTCCTACACAAGTTCATCCTCAGGTGAGATCATTTATTCCACACACACAGAAATACAAAACATAACACAAATGTACAATAAAATAAATAATTATTTAATATCTCTTGTTCAATTAATACAGATCATTTTAACCATTTTTTTATTTATTATTTCTAGGGCAATGCCAGGTTCACAGTTTCTTTCACACCAATGGAAGCGTGTGAACATATTGTGAATGTCTCTTTTAATAAAGTAAGTTTTATAATTTTATACTATATGTGCCTTTGTAGATTTTTGATTCTGTATTTTGTTCAAAATTGTATGTATAGTAGTAGTGATGTCATACATTATCTATGGTGAACATTGTGTTTCTTTTTTTATATAACAAATGTATGATGATTATGCTTTAAAACTAGATAAAAAATAAAAATAGAATAAAATATACATTATGCTCTTTCAAATTAAAAATAAATATTTAGATTTGTCAAGAATTTTTGTTTGTTTGTCTCTCTGTTTGTCGTGATTCTACAGAGCGTTCAAAAGAGTAACATAACTGAAAAGAACACCCAAGAAACTCAGTCTGGCTTTTTTAAATATGTCTTATAAACTAATACATTAATATTTGAAATCTTGGCGGGCAATGTATTATAGACACAAATACAATTCCCCCCAAATTAATTTGTCTCTTGATGCAATACTAGGCAAAGCCGTCCACAAGTAATATATAAATATATCACATATTATTGCAGATGCGAGTACCAGGTTGTCCACTAGTCATTGATGTGTCTGAAGGTGGAGTTAGCGGGGCCCGTGTGACCATACCCGGGCCTGTCCCATTGCACCAGCCGACATTCCTTACCTTACATCACTCAACCGCCACCCTGGAACAGATTGAAGTTAATGTTGAGGGTAAGTTCTCAATCCGACTGTTTGTTCCTTTTCGAAGTGAAATCTTCTTTAGCATGGATTTTTTTTGTACTACCTTAAAAACCAAACTTGATCAAATTCATCACCACGCAGCAGCAGATAGCAGGAAAATAAGCAATATAAATTATTTTTGTGTAAGATAGGGCTATAAATGATTATAGTATTTTACCACATAAATGATAGTTAGCACTATTATATTTAAGTCTTTCCTTCCACCGATACTACCATACTAATTATTTATTGAACATGATTTTGTATAATTCATGATACAGTAACTTTTAAATAACATTAGATGACTAGCACAAATGAATATTTCCTTACAGGATGGAAAAAATGAGATTGAGAATATAGTAGCACTGAGCCATAACATTCCTCGCTAAAAAGGGGGGGTAGAGATATTCTGAATATGGTGGAATAGTGGATTATCGCAGCTTTGCAACTAACAATTTTCACAAATACATAGTTAGGACTACTAATATAAGTTAAGATCATGAGGTATTATTATGATAGTTATAAGTAATATATTTTAAACCTCGAGAATATAACATTCTTCATTGTTACAAAGCTCATCCGCTTCGCCCTAACTTCTAACAATCACAAGAAATTACCATTTTATATAAAGAAATATAGATAGGAGTCAAAAATAATTAGCTAAGCTTTGTATTAACTATGCATGTTGCTAAGACTGTATTGGGGATTGATCATGCATAAGTAATACCAGTTATGAAGTATAGTTAGGTTAGGGCAAGTTAGGGCATAGCGGTGAGCTGAAAAATAATGGGGCTTAGGTCCGAATGGGGCATCCGTACCAGCCGCGGTCTCGTCTGCTGGTGCTGGGACATTTCGTGCTGAATTCGTCCCGCGCGCTGTGGGCGAGCATCGCTTGAATGTGAATGTCGATTCACAACCGATTCCGGCAAGCCCTTTTCACTTGAAGGTGAGGTATTTTCATATGTTAAAACAAAACGAAATAATTTAAATAAAACACTTTAACGGTTTAGAACGCGAAATATATATTTTTTTTATTCACAAACAATAACTTTAAAAAAACTATGTGATAAATTGAGTTTGTATCTCAATTACATGCGTAAACGGAGAAACTAAATCGTACTGTTATCAAAAATAATGTATAGGTTGTTTTAGTAATGGGTTAGTCCCATAGTACGGGATGCTGCTCGACTAAGGTAATTAAATGGTCGACTTCAATAACATCCGTCAACTTTGAATTTTGAATAACAACTGCGCAGGATTGTATCGTGACGTAGATTTCCACGACGCGACGTTGTATCGTGTTTTTGTGTGGGAGCCCTAAATGTTTACTACACGCGTTAACTACAGATATTATTTAACTAATATATGTAATTTACACCTAAGTAAGTGACGGGCTCGCTGGTGTAATTATAGTAATGTATGTCTAATAATCAACGGGCCCAATACCTTTTGAAATTATGTTTGACTTCGTCTAGAATTCTGGATGTTAATGTGTTGTAGGAATATCGAATTTCTGTCCACAGAGAAAAAGCCTATTTCACCTTCTATGAAGTGAACCCGAATTTAGTCTGTGATAAAAAAAATGGTTAAAATTATGCTTCATCGAAACCAAATTACATTATAATTATTTTAATTACACATGCTATATTTCACAGGTCTATGATGTAACGGCGATACGAGTGAAGGACGTAGCGCACGGAACAGTGGGAAAGCCGGTCACTTTTTTGGGTATGTTGACCCAATTTATTTAGAGCATTATTTTAAGTGTTATTCACGTGTCACGTGTTACGAGACAATGGGTCTATATAAATAATAAAAAAAACAACATTTAGTGTTGCTAGTTTAGCAATCGATAACTATGCCATGGGCTTTTTTCATTTGAAATGGATTTTAACTTCAGGCATATTTTCTTTTTACCTCAACTATAGTTTTTAACTTTATTATTATATTTAACTTGTTATTATAACTAACGTTAATACATTATATACCTTTAAATAAAACACTTTAACGGTTTAAAACTGGCCACTCTTTCTATTTTCGTTCTATATCAATAAACTATGATGAGGCACAGCTTAATAAATAAAGCGTTGTTAACCTTCTCTTGTAGTGGAAACGATGGCCGCTGGGCCTGGCAACCTGGAAGTAACAGTCAACGGTGGTCGGGTCCCAACAGCTGCGGCCGCGCAGGGAGCCCATACGTACGCGATAAGCTTCACACCGAGAGACCCCCGGCCGCACACCGTCGAACTAAGATTTAACGGAGATCATGTACCCGGTAATGAAGTACTTCGAAAGGGTTTTAAAAACATTTTTAACTGTTTGCATGATAAATTCTTTTTAACAGTTTTAAACTATATATTTATAAATTTAAAACGACCATTGAATTTTTACCGCTCACATTTTCAAATTTAATTTATATGAAAAAAAAAAAAATTCGAAATTCGTGTATATGCTTGAGTGTTTAGTTTTAAGATGTAGTAAGTAGCAATCATAATAACTTATGAAGTTTTAAAGTAAATAATATTTCTTTATATCAGTTTATTGTTTAAAGAAGAGAAATTATATTTAAACAATTGTATCATTTTAGTTGAATCTAAAATCAAAATTTAACTACTGTTCGTCAAGTCCCATAGTTTCTAGGCTTTTTAATATTTAGACAATAATCAAGTATATATTCGAAAACTTTCACATGTACATGATGGCACTATGGTTAGAGCAACATCACGGAACGCTGTGGATGCTGGTTTAAGACTTGCCTGTATCGTAATTATTTTATTATAATCGAATCGAATTTTCTATGTTTAAGCTTGAAATGTATGTATTTTAGGAAGTCCGTTCGTGTGCCATGTCTCTGCACCAGCGAGAGTGATCGGGGCTGGTTCAGGGGAATCTCCCGATAAAGTATCTGTTGGTGACGCTTACACCTTCAGCGTGGACTCGCCAACATCACCGCACGTTGAAGTGCTGGGACCAGCGCGACGACCAGTTCCGGTTCAGGTGATCTATCTCTTCTAGTTTTCATGATCTATTTCTGTGCATGGACAAAGGATATGTCATAATATTATATTTGTTTTTTATCTTCATTCCTACCGAAGTAGCCTCCGTTCTCTGTTATTATTATATCTCAAAACAAATCGGATAGTTAGATAAAAAATCAGGGAAAGGCACCTCTGGCTCTATTTCATCAATAATGTATAACTTTATTTAAACACTTTAAACGGTTTTACAGTTTAGAAATGTTGTAAATAAATAAACTTATACACTTCGTGTTTTAAACCCGTGAAAGTGTTTTATTTAAATATGTATTACTCGCGTAAACCTTTTAGAAACTACTTCCTTTTTTCTTTTTTTGCTTATCTGATTAATGCTGCAGTAACAGAAAATGCACAATGAAAAGTTTTTTTTATATAATTATTATTTAGTTAGAAATACTTTTTCTTTTTAATGCATATCCATTTAATTAATTATATATGACTACATGTAACAGGTATCAGCAGATGAGACGATAGGAGAAAACGAAGCCAGCAAACGATATTCAATATCATTCGTGCCTGTGGACGTGGGAGATCACAGTATTGAGGTATTCAAGATTATTGTACTAAGTAATTGTTAGTTTCAGACACAAGTATCGGCATATAATACAAGGCAAAACGGGGATAATTTCAGTTCTTGCTTGTTGTTAATTTGCTTTATTCATAAACCAAATTAAATCCAATCTAAATAAAATTTAAGAACCTTTTTGCCGTAGTCTAATAGTCGTAAACTATTATCAAATAAGGTCTTGTACAAATAATTCATTTTAAAGTTCCCACCTTCGTAGCTTAGTGGTGAATCATTTTCGACACCCAGGGAAACGATACATTGTTTCAGTCAGGGAGTTTGGTCAAATATTTTCATATAAAAATGTCATAGTGATCCGGATATTGAAATGTGTTCGCTCCATAACCCACAAGGAGAAATTGGGATTTAATTTTTTTTAATTACAGGTACGCGCTGGTGCAATGGGAGGTCATGTGGAGGGTAGTCCATTCCTCGTGAAGGCCTATAGTGCGGCTCAAGTCTCTGTCACTGACATCTCGCCAGGTGTCGTCGGCAGACCGGTATCCTTCACTATCAATGCGTCTCATGCTGGTAATTTTTACTGTCTTTAAAGATAATGCCCTCTAGATAAATTTATATCTATTAAAATAACGACCACTTAAATCTTTAATAATTGATGGAGACAGGGTGCAAGTCCCCCTATATTCGACAGAGTAAAATAAAAGGCAGTTTTAGCATAGGTGTGATGATGAGAACGTACATAAAAACAGTTATTTATATAAAAGAACACAACACTTATAAAAAGATAAAATATTAGAATAATATATGTATCTTCATGTTAGACAAAAATGTTCACAAGACAAACTAATTGATTTTTCTTCAGAGACGTCACACGTCATTAGTCAACTGAGAGTCTTATCTATGAAAATATTATAATAAACCTCTTTAACAATAATCTATATATAATAAGGTAGTATTTTATCTCTCTATCTATCTGTATTCACTCGCTCCGTCGTACTGTCGGAAGCTTCAATTGAAAATACCTTATGCGGACAAAACAGGGTAAAAGTGTCATAGAAATTGCATTAAAATTAAAAAGAAATCTTTTTTGCCTATGCTACTACTTGGAGAGTTTTTTCTTGTCACTTATTAAATTCATTATATATTATAGGTGCGGGAAATTTGGAAATCATTGTCGCCGTGGGTGGTAGAAACGTACCTAACTTTGTTCAGAGTGAAGGCAACGCTAGATTTAAAGTAAGTGACTTATCCAACTTTTTCAATGCTTATGACGTCATATGCTTGTAAATTAACACACTCCTGGGACCTCTAAACTATGTTCTATTTCCGCCTAGCTGTGTATTAATTGTTTTTAGTGATTAAATATTAATATAGATTTGAACCGCTTCCCTCTACATATTTAGTACCAAAAATTTTATGCTATTATAAAAGCCAAGTAAAAGCAAATAAAAAACAAAATACTTTTTCTTTTATACTATAATTTTGATATCAGAGGCTACCTCTTATAGTATTGCTTAGTTGTGATAAACTATGTATATTAAAGTCGTTTCTTTCTGTGGGGTATGGGGCGAAAACCGTACCTGTTTCACCTAACGATTTTATTTACAAGCGAATAGTTCATAGAATAATGGTCCCAAATATAATTTTTTTTCCAAAATCCAAATCGTCTTAAATAAATAAATATCATTTTCCAGGTGAACTTCAAACCAACGGAAGCGGCTCCACATACTTTATCAGTACGTTTCAACGGGCACGCGGTTCCTGGTTCACCATTTACTTGTATTGTCTCCGCCCCTGCTGCAGCCCCTGATGCCAGGGCTACTGGTCCGGGGCTTTCTTCGGCTGCTAGGGGGGATTCGGCGGAAATCAATCTTACCGGTTTCCACTGTAAGTAGCTCTTAAACAGACTAGCAGTAAATCCCAAAAAATAATAAGTACGTAAGACATACTATAGACAGTATTTAAGTACGTAAGTGCACGTACGATATTGTGGCCAAATTTTGGTAGACAAAAAAATTAGATGAAGTCGAGGTTTTCTTACAAGGCTCACATTGATTTACAAAAAAAAAACACTTTGAGATAATGGAGTTTATGTTAAACTCATTATTGAAACTACCTCAAGAGTTACTAAAAACCAACCAAGAAGACTCATGCACGATCGCTAAAAAGTGGTAGTTATGTGGAGACCAATAATACTGACATAAGAAAATAAAAAATAAGGTTGTCATAAAAGTGATTTTCAATATTGAAGTTCGGTCCATATAAATTCGATATTTCTGTATCCCTGCGCCATAGGTCAATCATATAAAAGGTTACCACTGGGTCTCTTTTGTCAAGTTAGAGAAATACTATATATATAATGTGCTGCAGTATTGTTTAAAATAACACATTTCTGTCAGAGAATAACGTTTTTTCGCGCTTATAAATATAAATAAACGTCTTAAACTTCCTACTGACTTCTTTAGTGAGTAGGAAGTTTAATATAATATATGTTACTATGACATATGCACTAAACTCTTTAATACTGTATATTTAAACTGCGTTTGATTATTTAAATAAAACACTTTAACGGTTTAAAACGCGATATATTAGTTAAACTTATTTGGAAATGAGCAGCCGTGGTCACGGGGAGACTGCTGCAAAGCATCCGAAACGTCGGGCCGAAGTTAAAATCATTTCCAAATAAGTTTAACTAATATATCGCATTTTAAACCGTTAACGTGTTTTATTTAAATGTGCACTACTCGCGTAAACTACAGACAGTATTTGCGTTTGATTAGTTAATGATTATTCCAAATCATATTGTTGTTTTCAAATCAAATAAGCATAAACAAAGCGTAATGTGTTACGAACGATACGAAACACAAACAACATTGTTTGCGATCTAATAGGTTCGTCATTCAGTTTTATGCGCACGCGCAGCATGGCCTGTGTAAGCCATCTTTTGAGACGAATAAGATCCGTTCGTAAATTCAGACGCTTGTTGAAAAGTAAGATATTAAATACTGTCTGTAGTTGACGCGAGTAGTATACATTTAAATAAAACACTGTAACGGTTTTAAACGCGATATATATTGGTTAAAGTGGCAATTTTTACTTTGACGTCAGAGATATCCTCCATCTTTAGTCTTCCCTTGACCACGACTGCAGCAAAGCATCCGAGACATCGGGCCGTAGTTGAAATCATTTTCAAATAAGTTTAACTAATACCGCGTGTAATAAAAATAATAATACTAATATTATATATTGCGTTTTAAACCGTTAAAGTGTTTTATTGAAATAAGTAAGATATTTACATAACATGACAATAATAGTATTGCTCGACCATTGTTGAAAGAATACGACGATGATGTGTAGGACTCGGTAGCTCAATTGGTTAGAGCACCAGCGTGGAACGTTCAGGATGCCGGTTCAAGTCCTATCCGTGTCGTAATTTTTTTTTAATTATTATCGATTTCAATTCATATAGTGCCATCATATGTTTATAGTCATAATTATAGTCTTTTTTTCGTCAGTATATTTCGTACGCGTTATGTTATGTAGAATTGTTTTCTGAAATATGTACAATATTCGTTATTATTTTAGCGTGCGAGCCTACGATAACAGTAACGGGTCCGGGAGGCTCAAATGTGCGTTCACGTGTTACTCCGATGGGTGAAGGGCGGTACACGTGTTCGTACACGCCAGAAACAGTCGGGCGGCACAGCGTGCACGTCCAATGTGCGGGCAGGCACGTTCCTGGCTCGCCATTCATTTGCAACGTGTATGACGTTCGACGTGTACGTGTTACCGGACTGGGACCTGGAGGTTAGTTATTTTTCATTCTGGTGAATATTTTGAGGGTTAATAGGTTCTCAAACCTTATGATTTTTTTCTATCAGGCTAGGCATAGGTTAAGGTTTATAGGATTTTTTCTTATTTTGAATCATAGTAATTAATCACTCTATTTGTTATTTATCTAGTACAGCCTGTTATAGTAACTTAAATTTAGCTCCATTGGCTTGAATCAGCAAGAGGGAAATGGTTTTGCGTCAGCATAAATTGCAGCAAAGCGTGACACTGATTTTCAGCAATATATGCAAATATTTGCAAATGGTCCAAAAAGGTTTTAAAAACATATGTTTTTAAAATCGAAAATAAATTGAAAAAAATGTCGAATCTGGCAGGGCTTGAACCGACATCGTCAGTGTTCCGTGCTGTTGCTCTACTAATTGAGCTACCGATTGAAAAAAAAACATTTTTCAATTTATATTTTAAATTATATAGTGCCTTCATGTGCAATAACATATGAAAAATATTAAAGTTTTCAAACGTATCTTTTGACACCTTTAGAACTGGAAGGAACTCTAGAGGGCCTAAATCTAGACGAAAGCGGCGAAGAAGAACGCGGTGTCGAAGTTGGGAAACCAGTGACGTTCAGCGTAGACGCAGCTGGCGCGGGTGAAGGAACGCTCGAACTAGTCGTTTCTACTCCTTCGACGACAGTCAAAGCTGAAGTAAGCTAAAATATATTATCTGTACTTTTAGACCGCACAAAATCTAAATTAATTGAGATTCAGAAACTTCAATAATATTTATTTTCGCAAAATATTATATATTAGGTATTTTACTGGGCCCAAAAACCGAAGCCTATATTATGCTCCATCTATACAGTGGATATCTGTTTTTGATCGTTATCAAATATTTATTGACAAGTGCTAAAAATTGTTCGACTTCCAAAATTATGTTTATACATTTGTACACTTTACAATTTGTATTTCACGCACACAACAAGCAAAAATCGATGTTTAATGATGATGTTTGTGCACTGTGATCGGGGTTTCGAAGCCAGCACATGTCATCCAATTTTCTTTAACATTGACATTTTTATAACATTATTCGTTTTCTTAACAGGTAGTGGCTGTAGCTCGTGGCCTGTATGATGTTACGTTTGTCCCCGTATCGCGGGAGCCTCACCGCGTTTCCGTCACCTTCAACGAGCAAGCAGTGCCCGGCAGTCCGTTTATCTGTCGGGTGAACGAGCCGCACACATACGTTCAAATCGGTAATAAAAGTTGTTTTTTTATTTCTCATTAATAAAATAACCCGTCAGGTATTATTTTTGTGCTGTTGCTCGTGAGATAGAGTCTCGTCCGATTATTTTTTAATCTAAGCCCTCAGTTCGTTAAATGAATAAATGTATATAGTAAAAGAAGCAATTATCCACGCTTAAGTGTTTTGTGTTGACTCAAATGAACACGACTTAGATCAATATTTTTTATGTATTGGAAATATTAATTTATTTATCGATGCCCTAAGATACTATATGTTGTAAAATTTCTACGTCAATGAAACTAACATAATCTGTATAAATAAAAATAGTCTTCATACTATATAACAAACAAATATTCTTAAGACTATAATATGGCTGAGATATTATTTCCATTCCATCAAGTGGTTGTCTGCCCATTTCTCTCTTAAAACATATGTAAATAAAGAGAATAATAATGATAAAACAATGCTCTCATATTAGGAACGACAGCCACCATCGATGTAGATGAGAACCTATCGGATATAGAAGTTCTATCACCAACTGGAACCAGGGTAGCTGATGCCGATATGGAAGACGAAGGCATCGTTACATTCCCCGTGTCTCGTGTTGGAAGATACGTAGTGCGTAGCTCTAGGGGTCCAATCGCTGAAGTAGAAGCGCTGGATCCATCTGCAGTGAAAATACTATCTATTGGTGAAGCAGTGGCGCATAGACCAGCCATCATAACAGGTATGTTTTCATCGCAAAGATTACCGATGGTGATGGATTCTGTACCCCCAAGGATAGAAATGGAAGACTAACACTAAGACTTCGCCGTTTGTCTGCCTATCGCCAGTCTATCTAAAGACAGTAATAGCTAAAGTATATTTTCACAAATTATATCTCTCATGCCGATAGAACAACAAATACTTAAAACCAAAAAAATATATTTAAGGGATGCACAGACTTATTAAGACTCCGGCAAATCATGTATTGATGGCGGGCCGCCAGAAGTAAAGGTAATTAAAGACAAGAAAGAATTTATTAATTTGAATTTTATATTTGTTGTCGGCGGGCCACCAGTATGTAACCAGTCTATCTAGAAGCATCTCTTCTCTATAGTCTATTGGTATGATAACTAAAGAAATTAATAAAACTGTGTAAGCTTTCACGACCATCGTTCAGCTTATGATATGCTAAATAAATTAATATTTAAGGGAACTTCTTTACATAAACGCCATTTTTGGTCTATTATTATTCGATGTCAACAAATGGTAACATTTTGAATGACTGAAAAAATATATATGAAATACCTTCCTATAGTCGTGGTAGACATTTCATAAATGTTCATATATGATCGTGGTACAGAATGCTGCCAGAAACTCTCTCGTACTATTAAAAGACATCAAAAATATTACCTTAGTTGTGAGTTAGTTCGTTTTTTAATACGTATAGACAATGTTTGTATTCGAATCCTGTATTTACAGTAAATAACTTCGGTGGCGCGTGACACAGAAGTCTGATCTATGTAATACGATCTGTAATAAAACGGGGAGGATATTTTTTGTCAAGTTACGTAACGCGCTATTTGTTTATAGAACGGATTACATATTTATTAATTTCATGAAGCGGACTTATGAATAACCGTCCCAAGCTCCAACTAAACGACACGGGGTAGGATATGTGTTTTTTGCATACATTGTAAAAACTAGGCTAATGGGCTATTTGACAGATTTTAAAAGGTACCCTATATTATTTGGTACTTGTTAAAGAACCCCAGAAAAGTAGTATTTTTGAATCCTAAACGCTAATTTTACGAAAAACGCTGCAATACAGCTAGTGACGTCACAACCTTATATTGGCCATTGTTGTATGGTGATCATATGATTCCAAATCTAGGTACATTTTATGTACCAAATATTTACAATTTAACATTGATTAAAGGTATAAAATTACTTACAAATGTATTTATTAATGCAGAGATGCAATCTATTGCTCTCTGCATTAACTGTTCTAACAGTTTTAACACTAGAAAGCACGGTGGTTTATAACACTGTTTATAAGCAAGTGACGTCATCATAAACCCGACCAATGCGGAGCGTTTTCTGTCACGTGGCAAATGTTTAAAAAGTAATTAATATTTGCGTTTTTATTTTATTCATATAATTTATTATTTTTAACACATGTGGCTGTTTACTTTTTCTAACCTTATACTTATTGCTTATAACAATAATTGACGCTATATTTTTCGTATTGTCAAATTGCCCATTATATCTTTTTTATCTATATCCCTCTTATTTATATCCCTAGTAAGCACAAGCGGCGCCGGTGGCGGTCGCCTGTCAGCCAGAGTGACAAGCTGTGGCAGAACCGTGCCGCATTCTGTACGTCGAAGGGGAGGATCTAGGACAGAACTCGTATGGCATCCAGCTAGAGCAGCGCCTCATAGGATAACCTTACTTTGGAGCGGCACTCCGGTTTCCAGAGAACCGCTCATAGTCGACGTACTACCAGCACATCATGGCCAAGAGGTATACCTATTGCAGTTTACTCTTATTTAACTTCAATGATTTCGGCACTAAACTGTCTGTAGGTTACGCTACTAGTAGCCTAACACATTTAAATAAAACACTTTAATCGTTTAAAACGCGAAATATAATAGTTGAACTACGACCACGTATCCCCGTGACCACGGCTGTTGCATATCAAAATAATCTTCTTGTAACACGTTAAAACTTTTTCATTTGATACAAATATAATGGCAGACTTATCTAAATATAATTTTTTAGTAAGTTGACTAAAAGAATGTTAACAAAGTTTTATTAGCCGTTTGTAAATCGTAAATGAGATGTTTTTTTTAAATGATCTCGTCTCGAATTTTTAAGGTGTCCTATATTATATCTAAAACAATATAATATGCTGATCTTAATTCTTGAAATTGCAGTGGTTAAGTGAAAACATATATGGATAAAAGCTATATTATTACTTGTCGTACTAAAATATATATTACATAGCATAATAAAGATTAACATAATGATATTACTAAAAGAAAGAACAAAATGTATGTAGTCTTTCCATAACCATATTTCCCTTACAGGTATCCGCCTCTGGTCTTGGCCTGTACCACGGTCAAGTGAGCCGCGTATCGTCGTTCAGTATCGACACACTCGGTCGTGCGGCGCGCGAGTTCGATGTCGTGGTATCGGGGCCTGGATCCCGAGCTTTGCCCGTCCGCTGCTACCAGACAAAGTCGGGGCTGCTTCAAGCCGAGTTCACTATTACTGAAGTCGGACAGAGTACTATAGGTACAAAAAAGATTATAAACTTTAGTATGTTCTGTACTTTAATTGTATATCTCGTTAATATAATGGTAAGCAATGTATATCTGTATATGGTTAATAATCAACTAGTCCTGGTTTTGACCCGACAGGGTCTCACATGTTTCTAATCAATTTATATTTTTTCTGAAACTTAGTGGACTTCGTCTGTCTGTCAACTCCCTGTTTGTCTGTTCTTCTACCACTAAAAATATAAGTGAAAAATAATTACGTCTTTTTATTTACAGAGGTTCTGCACTTATCAAAACCAATAACTGGCAGTCCTTTCACCTGCGAGTCGTTTGATCCCAACAAAGTGATATTGTCTGGCTTGCCAACTGGAAATTTAATAGCTCACACACCCATCAACTTCACTGGTGAGTAAATAAATATTTACATGGTTTATTCTTAATGTCCCAATACTTACAGACAAACACCTCAGTGCTTGTATATAATTATTAATTAGTATAATTATAAGTATTATTAATTAGTATAATTTATTTTTCAGTGGACACAAAAGATGCCGGCTTGGGAGACCTAGATGTACTCTGTGAGGCGATGGGTGAGAGGCGCGTGCGTCTTCCCGTGGACATTCGCGAGGACGGACATCTGTACAAAGTGCGCTTGCGGCCCACAATGCCAGCCCACTATCGCATATATGTTACTTATGGAGGTATACAGCAGATTGTACAGTTATACTGCAGCATAATATATGACGAATATTAAAGCATTTAAATAAAACACTTCAACGCAGCTTAAACGTCGGGTTAAAATTAGCATTAATCGCAGTTAAAATTATTTACAAATAAATTTAACTGATATATATCGCGTTTTAAACCGTTAAAGAGTTTTATTTAAATGAGTCCTACTCGCATAAACTACAAACAGTTTTTAATCAAATTTATGGCTCTTGTGTGCAATTATATTTTACAGAATGACGTATACATATGCAATCCCATATAAACATAGCTTGATGTGTGGCGTTAATTATGACCTTGATTTCTGACAATAGTTATGGTGCTAGGATGGTTCACCTTTCATCCCCCACTGTTTGTTTAATTATTATTTTTTTCATTACCTTGCGATTTTTTATTTACACGGCTTATAGTTAGCTATAGTAGCCGTTGTTCCAGTTTTAGCTAAAAATAGTACTGATTTCAATATTCAAATGAATTGTTAATAAATTCAGTCCATACTCTTGTCAGTTGAATAATACCTTGCACGTTAGGTACTTTTCCTTACATATTAACATTGAAATTATTTTTAGTAAATGTAGCAATAATTGTTTATTACAGGCGCCAGCGTCCCCGGCAGTCCTATATCTTTAGGAGTTCTCAGCGCTCGTGCAAGCATTGCAGCGAGGTGCGCAGGAACGGGACTTGCGCACGCGCATGTCGGCAAAGAGGCTGCGTTCACTATACATTGCGTTGATGACACACCACCCATTGTACAGGTATGGAATTATATCATTAAAAAATCGATATAAGATTAAAATTTTACGACACGGCCAGGACTCCGGCATCCACAGCGAAACGAAATATATCAGTTATTTACAAATTATTTTTAACTACAGCTTGTCGTACCGTAGACTTTGCAGCAGCCGTGTCGTGGTCGTCGCCCCTGCTGCAAAGTACATTATACATGAAAAGTACTAAAGTATAGATCACTTGAAATTTTTACTCTAACTATATCTACTTGCAGGTGGAAAGACTGAACGAGAGTAAGGAAGAAGAATCTGACTCGGGTTTGCTTGAATGTCGAGTTTCGGCCGGAGCCCCAAGAGAGTGGCTCTGTGCTTACATACCTCTATCTGTTGGACAATATGAAGTTAGGATATTCGCCCCTTCTGGACCTCTACCTGGAAGTCCTTTTTCTGTCAAGGTATGTGACTATACCACAAAGTTATTATTAATTATTTAGCCATAGAATAGAATATAGAAATCTTATCCACATCGCATAGGGGGTTTGATGGAATATGAAGAACCCCAGCTGTTTAACATTTAAAGATGCTGTACCAACCAATTCTGGTTTTGAGTGTTCAGAAATCTACAGACTGAAACCCAATCGGGATTCACAGCTTTTCATCTATCCATTTCATGTTTTTGATCTAACCAATTTGTTATATGAATACCACCTATTTACTACCCAGATTTCCATACAGTCTAAAATTGAAATTTGTAACAACATTTGATACATTGCTACTCATTAGCTCTTTTAAAAAGCTTCTAATATTAAGTTTCCTAAAATAAAACTATATTTTTAAAACTTTGGTTTTATCTAGGTGTAGTTCTTTTACTGTAACATTTTTAAATAAACTTACTGTTCAACCGTTGGAATTAAGTAAAAGTTATTAAATTATCTTAGTAAAACATTTTGACATCAGGAGCAATATTTGTTAATACCCTCATAACTCTACAGGTTATAGATACGTCAGCCATAGTAGCAGTGGGCGGCTGGGGTACTGATAATGCAGGTCGCGTCCGCGCTCCGTCTAAACTTGTTCTGGACACCAGCAACGCGGGACCTGGAACTTTGGAGTGCCTTCTTGCTGGGAGACATCAACGTTAGTATATTTTTGTAAAATAGTGTATAATTTTATCAAGAAATATTATATATATAATCCAGTATCTCAAAGTGTTTTTAGTGTGTGTGTGTGTAAACCTTATGAGAAAATCACCTTTTCGTATAAATTGTGTGTTTGTTATACTATACGTAGATTCGAAAACAATTCTTTAACTGTGATAACACTTATAGTCTTTATTCTGTTTAACTAAATACTTTTTTTAACTTTTTATATTCTAAACACAATTCTATGGCCGTTTCGTTGATCAATTTCATGCATATACATAACAAGCCACCTGTGCCCTTTCTGACGAAATCGATTATTGAAATTGAAAATTGTTCCCGATGTTTCGCCATCTCCAGTGAATGACGTCATTCAAGAAGAAGAGATGATGATGATGATGACATCCACTTGTGATGGTGAAACGTCAAGAACATATTCTCAACTACCACAGTCGAACATTCAAAACCCCAAAAAGCTTTTTTAAATGGCCAGTACACATTTAATTCAAGCTCTTTAACGGTTTAAAACGAGATATATATTAGCTCAATTTAATTGAAAATTATTTTAACTACGGCCCGACGTTTTGGTTGCGTTGCGGCAGCCGCGATCACGAAACGACGAGACGTCGGGCCGTAGTTAAAATAATTTTCAATTAAATTGAGCTAATATATATCTCGTTTTAAACCGTTACAGTGTTTTATATAAGTCAACATTTTAAACCGAGTCCCGAATGCAATACCAGCATTGAGATGCTTCAAAAACATTTTTTTTTGTATACAGGTGTAGAAACAGTATCAGGAAGAGCGGTGGTAACGCTAGCTGCGCCGGAGGGGGTAAGCGGCGAACAGGAGTTAGAGTTGACTTACAACGGGGCTTTAGTGGCCGGGGCCCCCAGGCGCGCGCTAGTTGCTTCTGGAAATACAGCAGACCGTGTGACATTAGCTGGCAGAGGGCTGGCTCATGCTGCACCTCACACACCAGCTGTTTTCACTATTGGTATGATTTGAGTTATACGATCATGTTTTATTTAAGCTATAATGATAATATTGGTAAAAGGACAAAGCATTTTTCTCAAACATAATATGTGCTTAACTTACTTGTACTATAAATTTAAAATCTATTTAGATTGAAAAGAATTAAGGACACGGGGGGTTCGAACTGGCATTCACAGCGTCTCCGTTGCTTCTTTAGCTATTGTATCGTCATTTTTTTAGTCTAAATAGGTTTTTGATTTATATCACCCAGTCATGAGGATTATTTCAGAATTATTTCAATTAGAATTTTTAAGGTTTTAATAATTCAGAGTTTTGTATTGAATTATATATTTTAAGTGTATTTTTTCATATTATAGATATACAGATGGAAAAATATTATTTAAAACAAACGAACATCGTAAACAAAATAATAAATGTATTTATTTTAGTATATAATAATTAAAAAGCAAGTCACGCTTTCTTTTAATCTAGATTGAAAATTACGTCGCCGAGTTTATAAACTTTCATCCGTGTGATAAGGTACATAATTCATTCTCATACACCGTCACCAGATGGCAGTGCAGCTGGTCCTGGATCACCGGAGGCATCTTTGAACGCTCCAGACGGAGAAACGGTTCCCGTTGCACTGACAGCCGCTGGGCCAGGCTTGTGGCGCGCGACGTACACGCCGCGAAGACCTGGCGATCATCATCTACGAGTGCTTTGGGCTGGACGACTTGTTAAGGGTATGTTTTTTTTATGAGGAGGAAACTCAAGAATGTGGTTCACTGAATTATAGATGAAATACCCTAGCCATGTAACATTTAAAAATGATGCGCATGCGACCATTTTGGCTTTGAATATTCAGAAGTCTATAGTCTTAAACCGGTATGCTTTTTATCTGAGGACGGTGGAAATCGGACTCACGACCGGTTGAATATTAACATTGCTACCTGATTTGCTACCTTGTTATATACTTTTTTTATTTTATATGCTGTCTTGTTATATTCACATGTGAAAAAAAATCAAATTTTAAAAACGTTAAAATCTAATCTTTAATGATTTCTTAAGATGCAAAGCATAAACATTGAACCTAAACGCTTAAGTGATAAGGTTGAAATTACATAGTGAAAGTGAGGTGTATATATCAATCGGTTGATGGATGTTCGACGATGATCTCATATACGGTAACTCAATTGGTTAGAGCAGCAGCATGGAACGCTGTGGGTGCCGATTCAAGTCCTGCCTGCTGAATTTATTTTCAATTTATAATTGATTTTCGATTAATAATATAAAACTTTTTTGTTTTTACAGGTTGCCCATTGACAGTGAAAGTAAGCGCTGGCTCTGAAAGTGGTGACGCGTCCAAAGTTGTATGTTCTGGTGCCGGGTTGGCTGGTGGTGTGGTGGGTCGGGACATTCGGTCATGGATTGACACCCGACGAGCAGGCCCCGGAGAACTGACTGCTCACTGTACTGGACCTAATAAGGTAAAAAAAATATATTTTATTTGAACGTGCTCAGTGGTACAAATTTTAAAGGATTTTTATAATAAAACGCGTTATTATATTAGTTAAACTTATTTGAAAATTATTTTAATTGCGGCCCGGCGTTTGGTATGTTTTGCAGCTGCCGTGGTCACGGGGAAACTAAAGATGGAGGGGAAACGTCGGGCTATGATTAAATAATTTTCAAAAAAGTTTAACAAATATATTTCGCGTTTTAAACCGTCAGTGCTTTATTTCAATTTATACTACTTTCGTAAAATAATACTACGTCAAACTTTAGTTTCTACTGTGGAGCGTAACCCAAATTGTACTCTAATAAATATCTTATAAGTTACATTAATTTTAGGTGTGTGATACTTACTATAAAATTAATCTTTAACTACCGTTCAAAGTGTTTTATTTTAATGGGCCCAGCAGTTGAACAAATTTCGAAGGTTTTGCTTATCTTAACAGGTAGCCTACTGCGAGCTGTATGAACACGGCGATGGAACCTTCACGCTGAACGTCAAGCCAGCGGAGGCAGGACGCCACGTCCTCAGCGTGCAATTTGCAGGCGAACACGTCCCGGGGTCCCCCTTCAATCTCAAAGTGGCCGGAGCACCCGACCCTTCAAAGGTAACTAAAACTTTGATACAAATCTAAAGCTGAAAAGGTACTTTGACACAATTTCGAGAAGTACTACTGGTTTGGATTTATTCTGTGCTATATTGTATATGGTATATGTATGATAAAAAGGGAAAACTCTTACTTAAATTTGGAGCAATAATTGGAGGAAAAATATAAATGAACACGTGATATGTACTACATTTGGTGTTATCTGTTAAAACGAAAAAGTACGATATATAACTATTTTCTTTTTTTTTAAACAAGAGTTGCCTGGAAGAGATCGCGCTATAGCAATAGGGCCGCCCATTGCACAGTTGTATAATTAAGACTATTTTTAAGTTAGATTTGTACTACATTGTGTGTGGCACAAGTCAATAAATAAATCTACCTATATAGAACTGAAGAGTTAATTAGCTAAAAACATGGCTGCGAAAGTATGTCTCTATCTTTTATGAAACGTTTTAATAATTATCATAGTTGAAATACTTCACATGGCAAAAAAAAATTTGCTAGGTCAGTTAGGAAATTTTTTTCTATACCATAATATGTCGGCGTTTGTGTGGAGCTTTACCATAATGTGTACTATATCCGAATATAACGTGTATAATTGCAAATTTGTTTTTTCTGTGTCTACATAACAGGTGCGAGTGTATGGCCCTGGTATAGAAGCCGGCGTCCTGGCTACGTTCCAGTCTCGCTTCGTTTGTGATACGAGAGGCGCCGGCGCAGGTCAGCTAACGGTCAGAGTGCGCGGACCCAAAGGGGCGTTCCGCGTCGAGATGCAACGAGAAAGTCAGAAGGACAGGACTATACTATGCAAGGTAGATGCTGTGATATAAATATCATCTAAGTAATAAATTATTATTACGGTTTTGTAACGAATTTAATAAGTTTTAATATAAATTTAAACTAAATACTTTTAACGATATAAAACGCTTAAAATATATTAGTTGTAGAAGTTAACTTATTCTCTGTAATAGAAGAGGATACACAGAGATGGACGTCACTTGATGTTAGGTAAAATACCGCATTTGACCTCTAAGCTTTATTGGCTTTGGGTTTTCGGAAACCCACAACATATCGAAACGAGATTAAACTTCACGGCTTTGTCATCTGTTACTAGTGGTTCATTTTCACGTTATGTCCAGATTTCCAGACATCCAATGTTTCAGAAATGTTTTGAGTTGATTAGAAACATGTTTGAAATGGTGGGAATCGAACCCACGTTCTATTTATATGTTGTTGTAAGTATTATTACACAAACGACCACGTCAAATCAATTTTTTTTTAAATAAATTTATTTACTTTTTCTGTTTTATATATGTATTTATTTAAATTAAGTTTTATTTTTTGTAAGGAGAAGAATCTGAAAGTAAACATGTTTGAATTCCTACCATATGAAATTGGCATGGAAAAAACCACAGAGAACCAGTAAATATTTTTGAACAATATCTTTCATTTAATAACAAAGTAGATTAATAGTATTTGTTTTTGATTGGGATCTACCGACATGATTATTGTTTTAATTCATTTATCTTTCTGATTGTGGAATTAATGTTGATTAGATTGAACTTTCCTTGTTAATAATATAAACAATAATAATTGTCAAACGGATAAAACAAAGGAATAAATCTGGTGACTGACGAGTTTTGGCAAATGTTGATAATGAAAATTTGTTTTTATTATAATATATTTTTGTATCATTAAAAGCCAATTTATTTTCCCCAAAATTTTAAAAATTGCTAGAATTTTGTCAAGTTTGTCTCTTTCTAATTTCGAATTTGAAGTCGACAGGGTAGTAAATTTCTTACCAACTTTCAACACTTTCTGTAATTTACGCAAGTACCTACTACACATTTCCACACACATTGTAAGTACCCAACTTGTTTCATATACCAACTACGACGGAACAGACGCTAGCATAGCAGTATTTATTTTGACATAAAATACATATCTTCCATCTGTAGCCTTCCCGTAACCACGGCTGCTGCAAAGCATCCCAAAACAGCAGTTTAATACATTTCGCGTTTTAAACCGTTTAAAATGTTTCATAAACTTCCTGTCTATAAATAAAAGAAAGATGTCCTTGTCGCAGTCAATTATTATTTCTTTATTATTTATAACACACCACCAAACAAAAGAAAAATATATTTACGTACTAAGTTATAAATAAAAGGCAGCCTAATCGCTCAGCAGCGATCTCTTCCAGGCAACCTGAAGTACAAGAGAAAATAAATAGAAAAATATTTAAGTGGTGTATTAGTAATTTTCCTAAACAAACAATATTTAAATAATTGTTCGCCAATTTCAGTTTTCCCCCACCGAGCCGGGCGACTATCGTGTAGAAGTGCGTTGGGCGGGGCGACACGTGCCAGGGTCACCTTTCCCCGTCATGATCTTCGACACACAGGAGGAGCTCCGGAGATATCTGCAGGCCACCGCCACTTAAAACCCTTTTCATAAACACCTTACATAATGATTACATGCAATGAGTATATTATTTAAGTGTAGATCATCCAACCACAGACTGAACAAACCAGAAGGGGCTTTCGATTATAAAAGACAACATCTGCTCTTCTACTACCCGCGTGAGTATGATATATGCGCGTATGAGTAAAATAAATGTTATGTGCGACTCGAAATATTTTAATTGTAATATCAAATTTAGGACCGTGACTTTGTTCATACTAATTGAAAACTTTAACATTTTTGAAATGTAGGTTTCAAAAATTTTCACTGCTCCAACCAAGCTCTGTGACACGGTAGCTCAATTGGTTAGATTAAATTGTTCACGTAATCATAATAGATTCGCTTCTGGTTTGTTCTGTATTCTGTGCCTTAACCTGTGTAATAACAAGACAATAATATACAAGTAAGCGATATAATAATCTACTTCAGTAGTTTGTATGTAACGTAAGAGTTACGTGACAGTAAAAATATTTTCAAAATATCTTATTGGTGGTAGGAAACCATAGATATCAGAGGATTTTTAACAAATTTTAATTGTTATTTGTTAATTAAAAGAACACTTTTCATTGCCATATACTTTAGGTTTTATTGTCTTTATACTCATATTTGTATATGTCATTTAACATTCCAGGTTCAAAATGAAATTCTGTCCGTCCTAATAAAAAGTACATCAAAAATTTAAAGCATAATAAATTTATTGTTAATATTTATTAATATAAAACATAGATTTAGCTTCGTAACTAACTCTTGTATTGTTTTTTTTTTTGTTATTTTTACTGCTTGTGAAATATGGGGGTTGATCAGGGGCGGATTTAGAGATGCGCAAAATATCTTCAAAATGTGTAAAATTATCCAATTGTCTATTAAAGTAATATTTAACGAACAAAGAAATATAAACGACAACAAAAAATCTGACATAATAATTTTTCTAAATTTAAAAAAAAAATCGAAATCTCTTGTCGAGGCCCCGAGGCGGTTGCCCCGGTTACCCTCCCCTAAATCCGGCCCTGGGGCAGAAGCACTCTTCAATATGGTGTTTTAACTCCTTTTATATTCTTAAGTATGTAATATTATACGATCGGTTACTAATTGTTAATAAAGGCAAAATTTATTAAAGTGTCTTTTATTATGGTTCCACATTGCTCATCTCGTCTCCCTTTTGCGAGATGATTTATAGAGAGAAACATAAATGAATATAGGTAATACAAATTGAAAATATATGCAATAAATTTTTATTTAGGCACATTTAGTCTTTATAAATACGCAAACGTCTGTTCATTTCAGGGCTGTAAGTAATACACTAATTAATTGGTGTGATGTTTTGTTAAATAGAAACCATTGTATTATGGAGTATGACACACACAGAACAAGTTTTACATTCATCCATCCAGCACATTATTGTCTTTCGGGCTGTTCGACCGAAGTGTGCGAGAAGAGGTCAATTCTTCGAACAATCGAGGAGTTAACATCTCCTCATGGTGTCGTCCGCACTTAATGGCGAAACGTCGAGAACCTCTTCTCGCTAATATAAGTTTTACATTGTTCCTGACCTAGTCACAAAAATCTATATTTTTGATAACGCAGCAAAATACATGTTTATACTTTTATATCTCTTATGAAATATTAATATAAAAGAAAGGCAGCTTTAATAATTAATATAAATCAGTTTATTAGGAATTCAAACAGTTATAGCACAGTATTCCAATTATAATTAAAGAAATCGTAAAAGTAGTTTAATATATGAAATTGGAAGAAACATTTTTAAAGTGGTCACGGGGAGACACGGCTGCTACAAAGCATCCGAAACGTCGGGCCGAAGTTAAAAATCATTTTCAAATAAGTTTAACTAATATATCGCGTTTTAAACCGTTAAAGTGTTTTATTTAAATGTGTACTACTCGCGTAAACTACAGACAGACAAGAAGACGATAAGATTCTTACGTCAGCATAAGTTGCAGCACAGCTACGCCACAACACTGATTTTCAGAAAAACCCTGCTGTTCATCTGCTAGACAGCGCACATATCATTTCGTAAAATACCTATAGTTAATATCTTTTTAAATTTTGAAGGAAGGTCACAGTACGATGCGAGGACGATGGCTAAATCAAGTAATGACCTCATTCAAGTAATGACATTTTTTATATTATTTAGATTGTTAACTATCAATAAAATCGTGACAATCATTTTCTATTTCAACATTATGCACAATGTTTAAAAGGTTCAAGGTTTATATCTAAACGCAACGCTTCGTCGATCCGGGAAAGATACGCCTGGTTCCCGGGCCATCTGCGCGCGAAGAGCGTCCAAACTCTGCCATAGCTGCTGCATTTGACCGAAGATTATAACTTCTAAGCGCTGTATGGCACTATGAAGCTCCCCTGAAAATAAATGAAAATGTGAGAATTGGGAGATGGGGCTAGGTTATAATATGTGGAGACGGATAAGCGTAGACTTTCATTTGATAGTAGATGAAATTTAAAATTTATGCTAAAGCTGGAGAGTTTGTTTGTTTATTTGAAGGCGCTTATATCAGGAACTACTTGTTTGAATGAAGAGTGTTTTTGTGTGGTTAGGCCATTTACCGAGGAACACAGCGAGTTTTGAGACAAAACAGGGATTTTATTCATCTTTGACGGTTTTAGTTGCGTGCACAGAACGAACGAAAACGGTTGAAACTAAAAAATAGGTATGAGTGAACTCAGGGGGAGACTGCGTTTGCGTTTTAAACCGTTAGTGTTTTATTTAAATATGAATGAATGATTCTTCTTTCGATGATTGAATAAAATCTCCGCAACGGTATAAAATATCTTTTAAAATTAACCCGAAAGACGGGACGCGGACGAAGTCACGGGTATAACAAATGCTTCGTGGACCTATACCTTGAAATTTCAGGCGCAAAGTGTTTGAGGTTTACAGTTCTTAGCGTCGACCTGTTTACGATTCGAAATTGCAAAATCCGAAGCGGAAAGCTTTTCCATCTATATTGTCTTATAAACATTTTCATTTGTATCACCCAATTAGTGATCCGGTTTTCAAACAGTTTTTCTTCTAGAAAGTATGGTTTTCTTGCGATATTTTAGATAAATTAATAACTGAAAAGTAAGTATTAATAAAAAAACTACAATTCTAAAAAGGAAATTTTATCTCTGTCTCAGCTTGTGCTCAGCAAGGCTAGCTAGCGCTGATTTTCAGTCTCTCCCTTATCCGATAACAAGTAGTACCAAATATTTAAACATTATGGAAAATACGTTTGACTTAAATTGTTTTTAAATAACTGTTTAAAACGCGATATACTATATTTATTTACGCGATTTATATTATATATATTTTGATAAAAACTCACTAGAAGTAACAACTCCATGTAGCCGTCTAGTTATAGTCGCGTTCGCAGTTGCATTCACTTCCTGGGTCTTAACTGAACACATGGCCCTTGCTTCTTCCCTGGGACCCGAACCGTGGTACGTGGCATTTTGAACTTCTACAAATGGCTTTTGACTTTCGGTTACAGTATAACGGGGTCCGCGGTCTGGAAATTAATTTTAATTCAACAACTTATAATAGTACTAAGAATCTCTAGTTTTCGCGAAACAATGAAGAAATCACTTGTAATGGTTTAAACCACAGTTTAATCATGTCTTAAACCGCAAGTGTAAATTAATGCAATTACATAAAAAGGTACATTTTTAAATACTGTCTGTAGTTAACGCTACATTGAAATAAAACACTTTATATTATTTTACATATCAGTTTAACAGATATATATCGCGTTTGAAACCGTTAAAGTATTTAAAAGGTATATTTATCTTAGATCCCAATAAACATACTGTTTTCTAAATTACACGGTTATTGACAATGCACAGAACGCGAGAGGCCCTAGGTTCGAATCTCGAGATAAGAAATAGTTTCGATCGGGTAGAGCACTGAGATGTGGATCTACTTTTGGTTTTTAAAAAACATAATCGCAGTCGATCGTGAACATACAAATTTTTGTTTGCTCGAAACATAAAAAGTAAATTTTATCTTTCTTGTTTCAACGGGTAACTGTAATAGAATATCTAACGTTATATCCCTTCTAAGTAAAGTATTGGACTTCTGAAAATCTAAATATCAAATGGGTGGTAATAATCAAAATTTCGTCCGAATCACGAACCACCGTCCACAAATGAAAAAGTCCTGAGGTTTAATCGCGTTTCTGTGGATTCCCAAATCCAATGCCAAAATAGGACACCAGTACATTTTGTTTCGATATTATATAGATAGCACATAACATGAAGTGAATGATATGCTTGTCTGCACTCCTCTGCCATAAAAGAAACTGAATCCAGACATTTTGTTTTTTAAAACTTATAGAAATACTTACGATAGCTTGCAGACGGCAATACATGTGTCAAAACAGTGAAATAGAAAAACACTAAAATTATAAAAAGCTCATTAGACCACATTTTAAACACTTCACGAATACTTATTATAATCGTATTTTATATCGCGTAACAGAAGACGCGCAGACGACGTCAAATGCATTACTAAACTAGACGAAATCTGTGGGAATAAATAGCACGTCTACGAAGTACGCTTCACTGAAAACTAAATATGTACTCTTACGATGTTAGTACGTATAGCTTATTAAAATTTATCGAATCTTAAAGCTACAGTACGTATTTTCGTGAGTTCGATTCCCATTCAGTTCCTTCAATTTCTAGAGTACGTGGTAGTGGTGTTAAATGTCTGTATATGTGTTTAATAGGGTAGTAGAAATTAAATACAACAATTTTACCGGTTTAAAACGCGAAACTTAAAAGTTATTTTAATCTCGATCCAACTTTTTAGACCTTTTGCAGCATCCGTCACTACGTACATACAATTGTGATTTATAAACGCCCTCTTATAAAAGTGTAATATAGTGAAATTCTCTTTCCCCTTGTGGGGCATGGGACAAACACATTTCTTTATTCGTTACACTGGACGGGTTTATTTACAGACAAGTATTTGATCATACGTCTGTTCCCTCCCCCGACTCAATCTAGTGTTTCCCCGGGATCCGAACCCAGGACTTCTCGCCCTAAAATCATTGCTAAGTAACACGTTTAACCTTTTAGCTACAGTGGCGGTCGACATGACCAACATGTGAAACCTTTTAAATGTTTGATGTTTTAAGCCGTTAAACGTGTTTTGTTTTAGGTATTAAACTCGTGACTCCATGTAGCAGCTACTTCATTTCATAATTAGTTAAGTAAGTGCAAAAAGACATTTTATTTTGCTTTAGAAACACATCATAAAAATTTACAGTATTAGGAAAAATCCAGTAGATGATGGGACGTAAACATTTTTGCAATTCAGGGCGGATTCCTGAAATAGACTTCCAGAGGGCGAGGCCCTACTGACTGAGCAGACGTAGTGCGAAAAATTTATAGCTTTTCCTAATATATATATCTTCTTAATTAGTTAAATATTTGCAAGATCCATTAATTTGTAACATTCGTGTAAAACAGGTGCATTGGCAAAAACAAACAAATATATTTTGAAGACTTTAATATTTTTCACGTCATGTTCATTGCACATGAAGGCAGGATATAATTGAAAAGTCGATTATAAATTCTCTGTTCCTTCAAACCTTTAAATTAAAACAATTATCTATCCGAATCATAATAACCCTTAATAAAAAATATGTAAGAAGTAAGTTTTGTGGACTGTGTGAAACCCCGTTTTCTTAAGACGCTACCATTCTTTTAGTTTATTTCACTGTTCGATTTTGTTTAAAGGAAAAATATAGTGCAAAGTGAAGAAATGAGAACAAATCGAATAATTTTACATCTCTGTGGGTTTTAGATGCGTACGCTGCGAAAACGGTTTAAGATACCTAAAAAATGTGTATGAAAAAATGATTCCTCTTTAAATGATCTAAAAAATATCCACGACACTAAGTATATTTAGTAAGAACGGCGGGAAGGGACGCGACGGACGTCGTGGGTAACAGCTAAGTTTATAAAGAGAAAGAGGTTTGGCAAAAACGAATTTAGATGCCCAACATAAATATTATTAGCTGACGAAGTCCCTGGCACAGTTAGTTTATTATATAATTTCGGTTACGCTTACTTAGCTAACTTATAATCATAGTGTCATTTTGTTTTTATGCGTGATTAGAAAAAAAGATATTTAACATTTACAACATTAAGTGTATTAATATAAAGATAAAATGAAAAAAGACCGTTTCAATTTTAAAATTTAATACCTACAACTTAAACTTCTACTATACAATACGTTAATTATTCCTGGTTTCCTTTCGTCATGCTCCACTTCTGCGATCAGCTATTGACCTATATTGAACTATCAAACACATTGGTTTTATGGTGCCATAAATTGGTTTTTTAGACATTTGAAATGGAGGAAAGCACTCATTGTACTGACTCTTTCGTCTAGTGGTTCTCCATTACGTGTCACGAGGTCCAGGTTTCGAGGGCATATAAGTTTTTTAGCATCAGAACTGAGTTCTGATCAAGGAAATCCCATCACCGCCCTTGAAATGTTATCATCTCTAACTTAGTATCTAAAACGCCATACCACACCAAAGACCTATAGTGAGATGCAGAGCAGTTGAAAGTCCACAAATTTTTTGCATAAATACTGCATTATTTATGCAAAAAATATATTTTTTTGGAAATCAAGATTTATCTTTATTTATGTACGTGGCAGTTTCCTTTTGTTTTATATTAAATACATTTAACAAAGTAACATAAGAACATGTGCCAACTGAAAAAGTCGTTTTTTTTTTACTTTTTTTTATGATACTGGACATAGGGATGAATATAAGGTGGAATAGCCCAGCCATATGACATTTAAACAAGGTGAGCTGTCGACCTATATTGGCTTAGGATATTCAAGAATCTACAGCCTGAAACTGAAACGCGATTAAACTTCACGGCTTCATCTGTGAACTGTAGTTTGTAACCCGGACGTGATTTCGATATTCCTACCATCCATTTAATATTCAGATTTTCCGACGAAGTCCGACACGATTTCGAATAAAAATACAAATTTAAAAATTAGAAACACGATGAATCCGGTGGGTATCGAATCCCGTTGATTATTAGACACGGCTATCGGATGGTTTACAGCGGTCGACACGAGAAGACTCCGAAGCAATTTCCAAATAAGCTTAACTAATATATATCGCGTTTTAAGTTAAAATGGTTTTTTACATGTACTACTCGTAAACTACAGACAGTATTTAAAGAGACGCTGCCTAGAGATATGTCTATCGAAACATTTAAAGAAGATGAGAATGATTGTCTATTGTTTGTAGTGAATGCTCCTTTTACAATAAAGTGACCATTTTAAGTATGTTTGAGTATTTTAAAAGGTAAGATGGGAGCGGCAATCGTATAATAGCGGACAATTAATCTACTAGACAAAAATGATGTCAAGGTTATCTATGAGTTGAATGAGTATTGTTGTGCACGGGAATATAATTGAATTAGAATGCTTTTAAATAGATATGTATAAATCAAATGAGAGACAGTCAAATTAAATGGTAGTAATTCGATTTTTTACGTACACATTTATATAAAACACTTTATCTACTAAAAACCACTCAGTTGTTAACTGTGCGTAAAGTTTTGCCAAATACCAACTATGACGGCACAGATGGCGCTAGCGTAGCAGTTTTCACTTTGATATTAGAGACACCCTCCATCTCCGGTCTCCCCGTGACCACTGCTGCTGCAAAGTATCAGAAACGTCGAGCTGTAGTTATCATGATTTTTATTCGTTAAATATGTACAATTCTTAATGGATGCTAATTAGAAACTTAAAATTCAAAAGGTTTTTACGTCACTAGCTCTATAAACCGCGCTCAACAGCTTTTTTTCAGTAGTTCTAATTAGTAGTTAATCTCTTCAAGTGTCTACTTCAAGGTACTTCTTTCTCAAAGGTTCTTTCACAATATTTGCCCTAGCTTATACGTTACAGACTTCTAAGAGATAACCTATTCTAATTTCGTAACCAGATGATAAATGGATCCAGTTAATCAATTAATTCACCGTCTCATGGTCAGAATACGTAATCCATTAGTAGTCGAACAGTGTTCATGATATTGAAAAGATGAAGATTCTTTTCGTAATATTCGTTTCAGCAGTTTGCGTAAATGGGTCCAGTGGTATGTCTATATTTAGTATTAATTTTTTAATTAATTTAAACATATCGTTAATTTTTGGTGATAGAGGAGGACAGATGAGCATGGACTTCACTTGATGGTAGGTGAAATAAAACATGTAACATCAAAACACGATGTGCTGTCGACCCATGTCGGTTTCGCGTTCCGGTTGTTACAAACTGAAATTGAAACCGTGTTTTATTTACACTTCAATACTATTTCGTTTTTTAATGTTTGTTCGGACACTTGGATGGAAATTCTTGTTCTACCCCCTCTTCTTCTTTAGCTACCTGTGATTGTCTTGAATGATATACATTATTAATGTCTAATTGAATAGTCATCGTATTTGAACCTGAGACCTGTTCTTAAGCTATTCCTAAAATATTGTCAATTTCATCTTCAGCAAACCAGAAAATTCTGAACCCAATTCCAGTCTTGAGACAATTGTTTGAAATATTACGAAGTGGGATAAAGAATGGCAGTCCCGCAAATAACTTACCAATCATGGATCCATTTAAAATTGAGACAGGTGAAATTGATGTTCAGGACAAATTTGTAAGGTAATGATTTCTCTTTACTGGATTATTGTAGGTTGACCTTCTGACTGACTGCCGACGAGTTCGCACCAATTATCTGTGTCAACTTTCTGACACTTTACTGGCATGGATGGAAGTCAACAGCACAACATAGAATCAATTTAAACAATAAGAAAGAGGCCTGAACATGCTATTCACAAGGAAATCTGTCGGATTGATGGATGGATGTAAACGAAAGAACTAGAAGTGTCATGGTTTAATTTTTATTCTATCTATTTTATTTATTAAACTTTATCAATTACAAACACTACTACTACTAGCTTATAACTAATAGATATTTAGTCACCTACCATTCAGAATAATCGAAACTACGGTATTTCTCGCAGACTAGACGCAAATTTGACAGATCTTATTATAAGAGGGCTTGGAGAATTTCGAGTGAAAGACGTGCAATTTTCCCAAGATCAGATTGCAGTGGATGTTAAACTTCTCTTCCCAAAGCTGTACTTTGAATCAGGTGAAATGACAACAATCAGAATTAATACTTAGAGCTTTATAGATAAACACTTTGATAATTTCACATGTTATTGATCATGATATAGCATCGTATACATTAAATAAGTCTCAGATTATATATCTCTTTAGATTTAAAATTTAACGACACCGGCATCCGCAGCACGCCGTCCTATATCAGCTGGGTCATCACGGAATTTCTTCCACCTAAAAAGCTAAAGAAATTGAAGATTAAAATTACAGAGCTTACGTTTGAAAACTTTGCAAATAGGCATTCTTGTTACCGTGTCGTATTTTTTTTTAGATTTTTAGCCCTCATAGTTTCAATAAATTTTATGTAACTTGGTATTATCTTGTATTTTTGACAGTTATCAAATGAAGGGTAGCTTTGTTGGGCTCCCCCTTTTCGGTGAAGGCAGATTAAGGTGCGTATAACTGAAAGTTATGTAATTTATTATTTCTTATTCTATACTAGTATCTCTTTGTGTTAAGTTCAAGAGGTTTTAAAAATTTGAACTATCTCCTTGTCAATAAACAGTGAAACGAAATTGTTTTACTAAGCCTACGGGATAGGTAACAAAAGAGAGTTATCTACCGTCATCAAATGACTTGATAACGAAAACTGAAGGTTTACTCTTAGTTCCTTGGCACTGTGACTACTTACTTACTACACTTCTTAAATTAAAAATCGATTATAAATTAAAAAAAATTTACGACACGGGCAGGACTTGAACCATGTTCTAACTAATTGAACAGTACAGTTGAGTGTACTAGCCAGTACACTACTGGCAGCTGTCAATCAGTATTCTTATTATTGTACATTCATCACAGGTTTGAAGTTATTACCTTGGAAATAAAATGCAGACTTTATTTAACACCATCTGCGAATGGAAAATCGGCTCTAATTGAGAAATTTGAAAACGCTCAATTTACTTTAGGCCAAGTATTGGTAAGTATAGGTTACTTATAATTGACGGGCTGGTGAGTTCGATTACCATCTGGTCACACATTTATTTTATAATCGATTCCAAATCACGTTTTGAACTCGTCAAGAAAATCTGGAAATTAATATTTTTTTAAACATATTTGACTTTGTCTGGAAATCTGGATATTAAATGATGATGAAAAAGCCATAAAGTTTGATCACGTTGCGGATTTTCGAATATCCAAAGTTAAAATAGGTCGACGGCGCTATCTTGTTTAGATACTTATTACCTAGGCCTTTTCAGTTTCCATTGAGTATTTTCCAAGCTTGCCGGTTCTCGTCTGTCATAAAACAAAATGATGCCATCTGTAGCTTATCGACGATTATTACTGATACAATATATAAACGATATTTGCTCTGATAATTAATAAGGTAAAAAAGATAAACGAAAATTATAGGGTATTTCTTTGTTTCTTCATGGTACTGTCACTTTGTTCTCGTGTAGGTATTGTCTGAAGTTTTCGCGAGTAGAATATTCAATAAAACACTTTTAGCAGTTTAAAACGCGAAATATATTACCGTATTTATAATGAAATTTAACTGCGGCCCGACGTTTTACCCCTTGTTAGCTAAATGGTTAAACGAGTTGGCTAGCATTGGGTTAACCGCCAGAGGTCCTGGGTTCGAATCCTAGGGAAACAATAGATCGTTTCGGTCAGGCAGGGCACGCAGAATTATGTTTTCCCCTTGTCCCACGGGATTCTACACGGTAAAAACTGCTACGCTAGCGCCATCTGTTACTTCGCTCTCTACAAATTATGTTTTCATTTTCTATTCAAAATAGGTTGACAGTAAAAAAATGTGAACAAGTTTTCTTCTTACTTTTTTTAAATTAATAAATGTAGGTATACTAATAGTATTCAGTAGATTAACCCACGAGGCTGTTAAATAAAAATTTTACATCTGAAATATGTTTAAAACGCGTATTTCTACAGCGTATATTATTAATGGTAGAAGTTATTCAACCGTAATTAATTAATAAATAGTTAACGTTTTGAACCGTTCAAAATGTTTTATGTAATATTAAAAATCTTCTTTCAGTCTCGAACGGAGCTGGACGGAAACTTTGACTGTATATTCAATAATATTGTGGAAGATGTTATGGCTATGTACTTAAATAGATTTAATAAATATATCGTTCAAACGTTTGGAGAGGTTGTCATGAAAAATACTAATACATTTCTGGAGAAATTCGACACGTGGAGGATTATTATGTCATTACTGTGATAGATATTAAACGGTTTTATTTAGCTCGACCCGTACGGAATTTATTTGTTTGCGTTGAAATTAGAAATTAAAATTTAATCACCTTCCCGTTGTCAGATCAAAACAACAACAAAATCAAAAAAATCAAAATCAAAAAAAAAAAAACAAAATCAATTTAAACAACATTATAAATCTAAGATGGCCACCGATACAAAATGGCGGATTACATATTGTCCCTCGATATGGGTATCAAATGAAAGGGGTAGTAACCTAGTAAAAACTATGATTGTCATTTTTTTGTAGTATTCAGTGCACAAAAAATAAAACCGTTTAACTTAAATGTTTTTTTTACCAATTTTTATTTTCTCTATGAGACTGTATAAATAAATTATAAGAAATAATGTCTATTATTTTATTTATTTAAGTTTACCAACATTTATTACAGACTGTCTGTAGTTTTTAATATCATACTTGTTTTGTAAACGTGTTTACGAGAGTGGCATAGATTTGAATAAAACACTTTTAACGGTTTATAACGCGATATATATTAGTTGAAATTAACTGAAAATTATTTTTTGCAGCAGTGACCACGGCTGCTGCAACTTAAATACCGCGTTTATAGCCGTTAAAGTGTTTAATTCAAACAATTGTAAGTGAACGTAACATGCTAAAAATTAAAAGTTTATAAAAAATGATATACTTAATAAAAAATTAATAACGCATGGACGATACTCGCGTTGATAAATTGACAGGCTCGTTAGAGCTAGATAGATAGTTTTCTACTAAATTTTAAAATTTTCTAAAACATGTTGGTCTTCGTCCTGAAATCTGGAAAATAAATGGGTGGTAGGAATATCGAAATTCCGTCCGGGTCACGAACCACCGTGAACAGTTTAAAAGGCCGTCAAGCATGATCACGTTTTGGTTTGAATCTAAGGGTTTCCGAATATCCAAAGCCAAAATACGTGAAAGTCAATCTTATTGAGACGTTTTATGACTGCTACTCGCGTAGAACACAGGCATTATAATTGTTAAATACTGTCTGTAGTTTTCGCGAGTATTTGAATAAAACACTTTAACGGTTTAAAACGCGGCTTTAAATATATGTATTTTAAGTTCAACTTGTTTGAGAATTATTTTTAACTATGGCCCGACGTTTCGGATGCTTTGCAGCAGTCGTGGTCACGGGTCTCCCCGTGATAGTGTTTTATTTAAATAATAATTGTTACCTACATTTTTATAATAAATATGATCTAAACACCATTTGGTGATTGATAAAACAAATCCTTTTCACAATATTATTATCAGTTATGTTCAAAAAAGTTATTCAAATATTTTCCACTAAATATCTGATATCAGACAAAATTGTGGTTTTTTAGAATAAAGGAGATTTGGTTCATTATTTCCAGATAAGGACGATAAATGAAATAATTAGAGGCACTGATTACAATTCTATCTTTGATCTACTAGTCGCGATAGATCGTTGATCTTGAAGATAAGAAAATCAATTCTAATTAGTTTTTAATTGTGTAACACAGTACATATTAGTAACAAGAAGCGAAAAGGTACGTTTTTTATCTTTTTATTAAACAAATTTACCACAAATAAATCTAGCCATATATATGTAAAGTCAAAATAGGCCGACAGCGTACAAAAAAGCAAACATCCCAGCCGTTGTTACAGGCCTATGTTTGTGTGTGAAATCCCGTTTCCCCTCGTGGGGCATGGGGCGAACACATTTCTGTGTCCGTTTCACTGGTCGGTTTTTGTTAACAGACAGTTGATCAGACTTCTGTTGCTTGTCCGACCGAAATAATTTACTGTTTCCCCGGGATTCGAACCTCTCGCGTTTAACGCAATACTAGGCAACACATTTAACCATTTAGCTATAGAGGCGGTTTGGCCAGGCTTATGTTTACCTTTCTATTATTTTCTATCCGCCGTTTTGAATAAATAAAATATCGTTAAAATAGAAACTCTTTACGTAACGCGTTACGGAGTTGAGTAGTCAAGACGATTCCCGAGACGTATATAAAATTAACCAATGTTTCTGGCTACTCCATACAATGTTACCTAAGCATTATTTTGATACTAGCTGTGCCCGCGACCTTGTCCGCGTAGCGTTATATGGGGCAACAAAATATTTTTTTGCAAAACAACCTGTTTTATAAATTATAGGTGTTTTGCAAACCTCCCCCTCACCTTTGAAAATTTTAGCTGTCACCCACTACGTCGTCTGCTTCACGTCTAAAAGATGGAAACGATATAAAAAATGTCCGTGACCGTATATGTCTATCTTTTAATATTAATTAGCAAGAACGACGGGACGCGCAGGACCTCGTGGGTAACACCAAAAATTTGCAAAGATGACGAGGAGGTTTCCAAAAACAAATAACTATTTTACGCGAAACATACATCGTGTTACACAAAGCGTTCCTTAATAAGTGCTCTATCCAACACAAAAATAATTTTTCAAGTCGACCTATTAGTTCCTGAGATTAACGCGTTCAAACAAACAAACTCTTAAATTTTATATTAGTATAGACTATAGATTAACATAATGAGAAAATAATCGCGTACCTACGCCAATTACTGTCAGCCATAGGTACACTATCATTGTTCTGAATAGAGAGGTTTGTTTTTATTCTGTTAACTAGCCAGTACTGTATGTAGCGTACACATTAAATTAACCACTTCTTAACGGTTTAAAACGCTAAGGATATCATTTAATTAATACATGTCAACGACCCCGATTTTTCTTTCCTGGGTTTCGATATAGTGCGTTTAAGCCGGTATTGTTATATTTAGTTTCGTTAATTTATTTCAGTATGAAAGTGATACTGTTAGTGTTTCTGCTGGTTGCCGCAGCAGCAGCTGCTCCTAATGCTTTTGAAGACCAAAATGCCTTAGAACATTATGGTAAGAGTCATTTGAATTTGAAATTGTTCTACTGTCTGTAGTTTACGCGAGTAGAGCACACGTTAGTAAAACATTTTTAACGGTTTAAAACGCGAAATACAATAGTATGTGAGTTTGTGGCAGCCGTAGTCACGTGAAGCAAGCTTAACTTATACCTTTCGCGTTTTAAACCGTTCAAATGTAAGTGAGTTTTTAGCATATTTGATTATTTTAGAACGGTTGTAGTGAGTTATTTTTTAAATATAGATATGTATGCATGAACTTTTTTTTAGATTACTTTAAGAAAAATAATTCTTTAATGCAAACTTTTGGGTATCTTGAACCGTTTCGTAGCGCATGTAGCGAAACCCTCAAAGATAAATCACCGGTTTTCCCACACTTTCCACTGTTTAATTGTATATAGCCTAAAGCTATGATTTATATCAAACACAAAAAGAAAACAATTATAGCCAGTAGTTCCTAATATTTGCGCATTCAAACAAAACTCTAAAATGAATATCGCAATTATATGATTGTAAAAACAATTCTTTATATTTACAGAAGCACTGGTGAAGGCGAGTCCGGAAAGTCGTAATTTTCTCGTGAACGCGTTAATCCGTCAACTCCTGGAATTCCTTCGTAACCTCATCGCCAATGGAAATGACCTTTTCGGTATTCCACCTCTAGACCCGTTAGTAGTTGATAAACTCAACTTGGATCTACCAGCTGGACTGATTAAGTAAGTAATTGTCAAATACTGTTTTTAATTTACGCGAGTAGTACACATTTAAATAAAACACTAACGGTTTAAAACGCGGGCCGAAGTTAAAAATATTTTCTATAGTTTACGCGAGTTGTACATATTTAAATATAACCATTTAACTTATATATCAGTTAAACTTATTTTAGCAGTTAAAAATTCAAATAAGTTGAGTAAGATCGCATTTTATCCGTTAAAGTATTTTATTTGAACGCGTAAACTACAAACAGTATGTAATTTACTTTTAAATAAATAGGTAGGTTGTTGTATAAGAACTTCACATCATACATACACAAACCGGTTCAAAATTATATTTGCATGAATGTGACCATAGCAACAGAAAATAATATAATTTTTTATTTCGAGGCGTTAAAAGAAGTTTTGTTTGAGCCTTCCTCAATAAATCTATCCAATACAACAATATTTTTTTAATTAGAACCACTAATTCCTGAGATTAGCGCGTTCAAACAAACAAACTCTTCAGCTTTATAGTATTGGTATAGATACGAAGTAAGTTGCAATCACTAAATCTAGTAGTAGGTATTTTACGACTATCGACATAATTTTTTTAAATATCTATACTCTCAGACTTATTCGCCTGTTAACGTGCAGAAATATTTACTGCATAAATAAAAGTTTGTAACCAAATCGATAAGATTGAATTATTTCGTTGAAAAGCTAAATAGAGGTATTGCGTATTTTTCTTTCAGTTTAAACTTGAATCTGACAAACGCAGTAGTGGGTGGTATTGGTGGTTTTGTGGCTCACAGAACTCATCTGGAACCGGCCGACCTATCCTTCGACATTGACATTGCTGTACCGAGACTCAAAGTGAATGCTGGTAATTTTTTCTTCTGGTTCGTGATCCATTCGGCCCTGGAGGTATGGCTTCATAAGACAATTGTTTCGGTCGGGAAGGGCACAGAACTTATGAAATTGATCGGCAACACACATTTCGTTTGTGCATTTTTCACTCTTTATTTGATGTATTGTGTGTAATTTAGGCTAGTAGTACACATTTAACACTTTTAACGATTTAAAACGTGAAATATATAAGTAATTTACAATCCCGTATACCCCCGCTGCAATAAAGCTAAAACTGTACTTAAAATAAATCGTAATTAAGTTAACTTATATATTTCGCGTTCTAAACCATCACAAGTTTTGTAATTAAAATCTTCCTTGTTATTTAAAATGTGTTTGAGCCTAGTCACGCTTAAGTAAACCTCTACCCCCGGACGTAGGGGATTTCTGTAAACCAGCCACTCTTTTATTAGTTAAAGAAAAAGTGTGTGCTTTTCCCATGTACAAGTCAAGTAAAATAAATATATGGAATTTGACTTAACGCTGAATCCCTATTTCAGAGAGATACAGTCTCATCGGTAACATCCTCACAGCTGTTCCTATATATGGTGACGGTGGAGCAGAGTAAGTAAATCTTCATATCGTAGTTGGAATTCCGAATATCCAAAGCCAAATTAGGTCGATAGCACATCTCGCTAGTAATATAGCTAGGGGTTCACCTTCCATCAAGCGAACCTCGTGTTTGGATGTCCTTCTCTATGATTAAAAATCGTTTCACGTATTATTATCTCTCATTTTGTGTTATAATAGTGTTACATATCATAAAACCTAATTACGTTAACTAATTACCGTTCCAATACTTAATTGGTTAATTTTATTATTTAAATAAAACCCTTTAACGGTTTAAAACGAGATATATTAGTTAAACTTATTTGAAAATTATTTTTTACCTCGGCCCGACGTTTTGGATGCTTTGCAGCAGCTGTCTCCCCGTAACCACGGTGTACTACTCGCGTAAACTATAGACAGTATTTAATTTAATTATTATTTTATTTTCAGGTTTATCGTCGAGGGTTTCAGGTTTAAAGCGAAACTGTTCCTGAAACAATCGGCCAATGAAAAAGCCGTTATAATTGATAGAATTGAGAACGTTAGCTTTGAAATTCCCAGTTTCAAGGTAAGTCTATACTAACATTAAAAGGCTGAGGAGTTTGTTAGTTTGAATCGCTCGCGCTAATCTCAGGAACTACTGGTTCGAATAGAAAATATGTCTTCTTTTGTGTTAGTTGGACCATTTACCGAGGAAAGCTTTAGACCACCAGGCTGCGACCAGCATGAGCGAAGAAATAAAGTGATATGTTAAAAAAATTGAGAAAATGCCTTAAGGGCTGCCGTCGCGTGCGCTGCGATATCAGTTCAAGAACCAAAAAATAATCTATGAATTAAATTATTCATACTTGAAATGATCTAAAAAATGTCCCCGATAAAATATGTGTATCTTGTAAAATTAATTTTAGTCTAAATGAATTATTATTTTATTTATTACCAATTATTATTATTTCTTACGCGTTGGACTTCGTCTGGTAAACTAGATATTAAATGAGTAGTAGGAATATCGAAATTAATCGCAACCTAATCTGATGATTTTTGAATTTTTTAACCCCCCTCCCCATTGGTGAGACGTAGTGAGGTTTAAGACATCCCCCCCCTCCCTTCTAAACATGACGTGTATTTTTAGTACCTACAAAGAATCTTAAAATTTTCTGAATATTATCTTAATTTAAATACATGTATAAACTATAATCTTATTTTATTCTGAAATTAAAAACCATAATAAAAATGTCTACACCATTTGTTTAAAAATCGCGCGTTTGACGAACGAAACATTGAAATTGAAAAACGAAAAAATAAATACACGCGATATCTTACTTGTGTTATTTTCGTGATTATTTTAACCCCCCCCCCCTTCAAGCCTCACGTGATTAATGGACGACCCCTATCATAAAAAAAGTCTTTGTCTCCAGGCTGCTGTGAAAGGAGCTATTGGCGGTGGTGATATAGACACTATCGTGAATGCTGTAATTGATGAAGTGATCGTCGGTTATGTGAACCGATTCCGTGGTGCTATATCCAACATCGCTGGTGTTGTTGTCGTCGCTGTACTCAATCCTATCCTGGAGCAACTGGACACTTGGGGTTGGATCTCCATAATTTTACCAAGACCCTAGTTATGTCATCTATCCTGCAAAAGCCCCACCCATAGGTATACTTTACAGGGAAGGAAAGGAACATTCTAGAGCAAAAGGATCATGGATTTCCATTATGACTAACTATATTTTATATATCCGTGTACATGTGTTATATCCGTGACAAGGACGGCGTGAGGGAAGGAGTTGAAAATCTCTACTCCTTTTTGGAGGAGGAGGAGGTGGGTCTAAAATAGAATTCTACACCTATTCTGTACCTAAAAGCAGGACTGTAAATGAGGTTTTATATTAATTAAAAAATAAAGCACATTTTGTACACTTTAATCAACTAACTGTTATCACTGAATTAACAGAGACCGCTTGTAAAAACATTATCACCAAACCTCGCGACATATTCCAGAAATATCCAACTGTTGACCCGGTGGGCAAGCCTTGCCAATAACTGGTGAATCGTCCAATTCCACGCTCTTTATGATAACGTCGTACTCTTGTATGGTTTCGGGAAATAGCACGTCATCCTCAATAATGGAGGAAAGAGTGAAACCACAAATTAACAGCATTATAAATGAAATAGAGCTTTTTAACATTTTCGCTGTGTCCAAAGATTGAGAGGTCCAGCCAGACTGCTGTGATGTAGAAATCGCCACATCATTATCGAATTTAAGCGCATCCGTTCTGCCCACGCGCATCGCATGAAATACGCTTATTTAGTGCTATTAATACAAATATCGCATAAGCTAACACGCAATTAAATACGTCATTCAAAATATGACACTGAAATATCCAAATCGAGTTTCAAGATAACTAAATCAACTACCTCTAGAAGTTTGTAATGCCATGGGTAGAAGATAAGCTGGTAGCGTTTGAACCCAACGAAATTTGATTTATTTAATTTGTTATTATTTTCTATTGGCGATATAGGAGGCGTAATATTGTTGTCGACAATAGAGTTCATGCTATCTAATAACTTCAAGGGTTCCCTTGTTCATTCTTTAATGAATTTAGAATGGTGTCCAAAATATTGTCTGTAACACAACTAATCAAACTAGTCTAACACAAATAGGCTTGGACACTTTAAAATGTCTGTGGTGGATAACATATTATAAGTTGTAGGTAATAGTTGGCAATTTAAAGAAAATTAGTCAAAAGAGAAGAGAATCAAAATACAGTAAAATGAGCCTTAGTTCTTGAATAAACTTTTATTAACAAAATAAACTTATAAAGTAATGAGCGCTTATCACAGATATGAACTTATAATAATTACCTTTTATATAACAATTTGACTTGCAATTTTGTCTGAGAAGATTATTAACAGATTCAAATATGTAGTATATAATCTTAAATGAATAACCAACATTTGACTTTAACATAGTTGCATAAAATTTATAACAACATATTAACAAATAATAATTTAGTTTACATGTTAGTAGAAAATTGTAAAAATTCTCGAAATAGAAGAATAGTTGTATTAAAATATTTTTGTTTAAATAAAATTTATAATGGAGTAGTAATAGTTAGTCAAACTTATTAGGCACATAGTAATATTTTTTTTATCTTTCCTAGTGAAAGACAACATTTTCAGGATAATATAAAACATAAACAGCTCTTAACATTTGACTTATTTCTAACAATCAGTGTAGACACATACAATGGTAAAGTTGAGTTACTTCTTGGTAGGGGGAGGTTGCCTCTCTCTTGGCTGTGGTGGAAGCTGCCGTTCCCTCGGCTGTGGCGGAGGCTGCACATTTGCACGCCTTGGTTCGGGTGGAGGCTGGCGTGGCCTAGGTTCTGGAGGCGTTTGTCTGACTCTTGGGGCAGGAGGGTCTTGTGTACCTGAGCCCATCCTAGAAGTTTTACACAGTTCTACTTGAACTTAGCCTGAGAAAAGGACTGTTGTAATATATCAATTCTTACATTGAGTAAAATCATAAATTTATAACTGCTTTTTAGCCAATATCCAATATTCCTGAAACTTTATTAGCAATTGTTTTGATTTATAGTAAATTGTCAATTGTCAAAATAATTTATAATCATTAGATTAATTAGTGCTGGAAACGTCAATTGTATCATTATTTATGTCATGTAAGTACTGCCAGATTTTTCCTTTTTGTTTTCTGTCAACTGCAAAGGACAGAGACACAATAATTATAAAGATGACTAATGCGTACCTTATAAATAAATAAGGAAAAGAATATAAAAGACGGCATTTTATTCACTACAATCATAAAAATAAGTAATTATAATCTGTGCATTGAGTGAGTAATATTTCGAACGAATGATTGCTCTTAAATCAGAGTTATTGTATCTTGCAACACTTCGTAAAGAACAAAAATCGCGAATGAGAGGTGTTTCTGGGAAAGAAATTATACATAGCCTTTTCATGTGATTTTGTGAATTTGTGTTTGTGCAAAATTCATTGTAGACTGTGTTTGTTTTAAATAAATATTTTTGGAAGAAAGTTCCCAAAAAAACGAACCGCTTGGTAGTAATATGAGTAATGTTACCAACCAAAATGGAACAGGTCTAGAGCAGCAGGTCGGTACCTCATGTTCTTTGTATTGATTTTTCTTTTATTGAATGAAAAAATTGTGTGAGATGTATTTTTCGTGTAATGCTAATTGTAAGATGACTATCTAAGGCATTCTTAAGGGATTTAACTGACTTTATTTTGGCTGTAACACTACTTTTACGTGTCTATAAGTATCCAACATGGCGTCACCTCGGGAAGGTATGGGGCAGGGAGTGGGTACTTAGACCATGTCATTGTATCAATTTACTTTCTGAAAATGTGTAAATACATTAACAACATTATCTTGGTGTAAAACCTATGTTACCATTGCTTACAGTTATCATATTAAATTTACATATCCTAGTACTACATATTAACTCTCCTGGAACCTCTATTAAGGATGGTGATAGATCATCCTCAATAAATTTTCTAGTAGTCTAACTAATGCTATTTCTAATATTTATCTATATTACTTTATATTTCTTTGCTGTATCAAGCTAATATATGGTTTAATATATTGTTGAACTGAGTATTTAATCAAACACAGGCAAAGTAAAGTAGTCAAATTAAAAATCATTTATATATGTAAAATGTACAGTAATATATTTAATAGTATATCTTTAAATATTTTTATTTAAAGCATGAGGATGTTCATTTTGCTATATTCAGAGACAGTACATTTGATATTTATAAAATGAGACTGTTATGCTGTTGCAATTCCTTATGTAATGTTAGAATATTTATAAATAAACTGTATAAAAAAATCCCTTGTTAAAATATTTTTATTTTGTGCAGTATGGTATAATTTATATTAGGTAAATTTTTAAGCATATTTGAAATTTGTATATTCATCACATTTCATGTTGTAGGCATAGCTGTTAAAAAAATAAATACCAACTCTATACCTCCCGGTAACATGGTTGGATTCTTCCTCCCTTATGTTTTCTTGTAAAGAGTTTACACTATAAATATTACTGTTTTTAAAGAACAAGTGTGACCTACTCTTGATACATTGCAATCTAATATTGCAAGTCTCAGTAGTTTTGTATCCCCTTTTCTTAGAATCATGACTCATCCTGATGAGTAAGCACTAGTATCAAATGCAAGCTTTTATAAGGAAAATAAGAAGTAGTGCAATCTGATCATGCAAGAATCATATTATCTTTATTATTATTTATTTAACTTTAAAATTTGTAAAGTTTTATTCACTGTGAGATCTTATGGAGAACATTACCATACACATAACCGAGTAGAGAGTACATGCTTCAGAACTGATAAGTATTGAATGTATTAAGCACTTCTCGTAATATGATACTGACATCTATTTCACTCTTCAATACTAAGTATAAGCTGTGACCTTGTGCTTAAAGTGGATGTGGGATTCTTGTCGCTTTGCTATAATTAAATGTTTTCTTATTCAGCTTGCTGGTCTGGACTTGCAGCCTCAGGCTCCTAAGAGCGCTGGACCCTACATACCTCCGCCTCAGCGCAGGCAGCAGGAGGCCAAAGTTGAAGGTAGGCTCTCGATGATATGCTACTTTTTTACTAGTTGTGTAAAATACGAAGTGGAAAAAAATTGGGTTCTCGGGATAGTGTCAAGAGTATTGGTTAGGCAGGATAGATGTTAGATCATCTACTTGCTTAATGATAAAATTGACGAGTAAATCACAAGACATAAGCACTTGTTCTATGGCCTATGTAGGGGAATACAGATTGATATTTCTTCTAATACTTTTAGCTATATCAATAAAATTGAATGTGGGGGTGATAGATAAAAAAATGAGTACAGAGTATTATCATTTGCTGCTATCACTACTTTGAAAGAATATTATTCTTAATAAGGGACAATGAACCGTCTATAAACTGTCTGTACATACATTTTATGTACTAGGGATGGCAATAGATTAGGTGTTAAGTGAACTTTGCCTTGGTTTGGTTTATGGTAAATCCATAGGTTTGTTTTGTATATATTAAAAAAAGAAAGGAACTCTTCTAATAAATATATTGAATATACAAAAGTGAAAGTCCGTTTGCCCCTCGTGGGGCATGGGGTGAACATATTTCTGTGTCCGTTTCACTGAGTCGTTCTTTTAACGGGCAAGTAGTTGGTCAGACTTGTGTGCCCTGCCCGATCGAAACAATTTTATGTTTCCCTGGGATTCGAACCCAGGACCTCTCGCGCTTAACGTAATGCAAGGCAATACGTTTAACTATTTGGCTACAGATGCGGATGATAAAATATACTGGTTGGTTGGTGGGATGGTTTTATTATGTTGATGTCATATACAAAATCAATCCAGTATATGTTTGCAAATTATTTCACTATATTAATGGTATAGTTACGATGTTAGTTGTTTTAGTCTAGCGATAGATTTAATACTTTGTGTGTCACACATGTCATCCTATATTAGCGAAGTATAACAATGTTGCCATTATTGAAATGCGACTTGTAACTTTGCACAGGAGAAGGGTCTAAGCGTCAAGGCTTAGACAGCAGCGAGGGACCGAACAGCCGTTCATCATACGGCGGCAACTCTAGAAACCACGACCGTGGTGGTTGGCGCGACGACCGCGACCGTGATCGCGACCGTGACAACGATCGCGGCTACGATCAGCGATACCCGCGCAGTAACCGCGGTACGTAATTAGCACATTCAGAAGACATCTCTTAACCCAGGTGCACACGGGCCATAAACATATCGTCTATACTAATATATAAAGCTGAAGAGTTTGTTTGTTTGAACGCGCTAATCTCTGAAACTATCGGTGGGAATTGAAGAATTATTTTTTTGTGTTGGTTGGAGCATTTATCGTTACAATTTATTTTAACTACGGGCCAACGTTTCGGATTTTTTGCATCAGCCGTGGTCACGGAGGAACCTGGGGCTGCAAGATGTCAACTTCGTTTATTGTACCATATTTTGTATAATTGGCGGCTCTTGTTTCGTGAATTAGCCGACTTAGGACCCAGCTTATCCGATTAGCAGTATGGTTAAACTATTGTGAAAATCTTCACTTTCTTTTTTCTCTACCGGGAGAGTAAAGGTAACAGTTACTTGGTCAAATGACTTGTCCATTACTTAATTAACTTCATGGGTCGAGAGATCCCATCGTTGTTATAAATACACTAACATTGAATAATGTAACAGTAAATATGAATAATACCAAAATCTCTTGCGCTTGTATTACGGTAAATTTCATTACTTAGCAGTTCAATTACGTCATCACTACGTAGTAAATGCGCGTTAAGTCGCTGCGCAAGCGCAAAGATGACGAATTCTTCCAATAACGGACTATGTGATTGATGTGGCTAATTTCTACTACGTTTGTTTAGGAAGTAAATAAATGCAGGTGTAGTCATGGTAATAAGTCATAGCCATGGTGGTACTTCCAAGTCGCAGTCAAAAGTCATTTATTTACATAGGTATCATTATGGACGTCACACCAGTTAAAAACTAGTATCTAAATTTACTACCAGTTCTCAAAGCAAGGTCGTAGAAGGAACGAGAAGAAACAACTCACCGCCACTCCTTTTATCAACTGCCAACCCGCCCCGAGGGTATCCTTAAATTTTGATTTCATATTATTTGTTTGATTATTTTTTGATGTTCATGGTTAATGTTTAGGTCGTGAATCAGGAGGATACCAGAATGGCGATACAGAACGCCATGAAGGCGACCGTTGGGCCGACCGTGGCCGCGGCGGCCGCGACCGCGACTTCCGCGAGCCACGCGACGTTCGCGATGTACGCGACGTGCGTGAATCCCGCGAGCCGAGGGACATTAGACGAGACGAGGACTATAACGAGCCGCCTCAGCCAAGAAACGACAGGTGGAAGGAGCCCGAGCCGCGCGCGGACGACCGCTCCAACTCACGCTGGCCCTCGGACGACGTGCGGCGTACAGGCGGATCGCGCAGAGACGAGGTCTGTGAGGTGATTTACAACTGTAGAGTTTTTTTTACTTACCGCCCTTGTGGTTTCATTTTTTTTTAAATATTAATTAACTTTCTTTATACATAAGTTCGCGGGGCATGAAAACCGCACAGCGGTTTCTTTGTGCCACGGATCACTGGTATTAACACTTTATGTCACAATATACATTACTTAATATTTACAATAAATAACACTATATAACTGTACTTTAAATTAACTACTTAACTATCTATCTAAAATGTCACGCCCCAGGACTGATGCAGGAAATACTCTTTGATTATTTCCTCACACTTGTCCACCGTGTTACTTCCCTTGTGGTCACATTAGTTGTAACTTCTCTCGTGGTCACATAATTGTAAGTATCCTTGTCTGTAACAGAACGATTGGACGGTCCCGTTACCTCGCGACGAGCGGCAGGAGTTGGAGCTCTTTGGCACGGGCAACACAGGAATCAATTTCTCCAAATATGAGGATATACCGGTTGAGGCTAGCGGCGAGAACGTACCAGACTTCATTACAAGTGTAAGTTGATTAATTTTTAATAAAAAACTATAACGTATTTTAATACAACATACATAGATTTGAGACTTGATTTCTTATATATTCTAACACTATCCTGTGTTATATTATCTGTTTGCTTTAATTTGTAGTATGTAGAGCATTCACCGAGTTAATGGATGCTTTTTCTTCACACCCTGAGCATAACGGTTGCTGCATACTTTGTCATTGGTAGATGTCTGTTTAGACCACCATGTCATGTTATGTTTTCTACAATAAGTTTTTCCTTTTTTTTCTTATTCATACTATGTATAAACATGTGTGTATACATACATAAGTCCAAATTGTCATACTATCTATTATGTGGTTTTAGTTTGAGGACGTTAACCTGACAGAAATAATGCGGTCGAACATTTCACTCGCCCGCTACGACAAACCCACCCCGGTACAGAAGTACGCGATCCCCATTGTGCTGGGACGCAGAGATGTGATGGCGTGCGCGCAGACCGGCTCCGGGAAGACCGCGGCCTTCCTGGTGCCGATTCTTAACCAGATATATGAAGCAGGACCCGTCAAGAATATGGGGTAAACTATACAATTCCGTTCAACCGTCGTCGTCTTCGTCGGGATACCTGTAGATTTAAAAAAAAAATCACACAAGTCCACTGATGTCGTGTTTCAGTTTCAGTCTGTCGATTTCCAAAACCAAACTAGATCGACTGAGCAATTTATCAAGATATTAAATGGCTCTGGTATATCATATTTTAACGACTCAATCATGATTGTCGGTCTTGTATCATAAACAAAATTTTCCTAAGAAATAAACATCTCTTAAATCAATAAACAAAATTAGCATCATAACACCTTGCAACTGTATCACTAAATAATATTAAATAGTTAAGGAATATTACATTGTAATCATTGTGTGTTAAGTATTATTATAAGAGTAGACAAGATAAGCTAACATTCTGCAATGATATTTGGGTTTCGCAGCTGTGATTCATAATGGTTGGCCATCACACGTAGAGGGCAACTCTTATGACTTTGAAGACTTCTTTATATGTATTTATTTCTAATATATATGCCATATTTCAGATCACTGCGACGAGTTGGTCGCAAGCAGTATCCCCTGGGACTTGTGTTGGCGCCGACACGAGAGCTCGCTACACAAATATATGACGAAGCCAGAAAGTTTGCTTATCGCTCCCGAGTTAGGCCCTGTGTAGTGTGAGTTATACATATTATTGTTACTTGATGCTCATATATTTTTTTTTCTGTGGAGTCTCAACTTCGAAATCCTAAACATAAGAAATTTCATAAACTATAATATTATTTTAATAAAACACCTAACGGTTTGAAACGCGAAATGTATTAGTTCGTTTGTTAACAATTTATTTTAACTACGGCTCGAAGTTTTTCATGCTTTACAGCAGTGGTTGTTAAGTGATATTGCTAGACAGTTTTTTCCAAATACCAACTCCTACGAAACAGATGGCGCTAGCGTAGCAGTTTTGACTCTGAGCCTATGGATACCGATCATCTTCAGTTCCCACGCCTTTTAAACCGTCAAATGTTTCATTTAAATGTACTCGCGTAAAATACAGCCAATACTGTGCAATTATTTTTTTTAAATTGATAATTTGCTTGTTTAACAATTTTATTCTGACATTACTAAATTTATGGATGAACGCAAACTAACAAAATTTTGTCACTCAACAGTTATGGTGGTTCCCCTATCCACGAACAATTTCGCGAATTGGACCGCGGTTGTCACCTCTTAGTTGCGACCCCCGGTCGACTGGTGGACATGCTGGTCCGAGGGCGCGTCGCACTAGACCACTGCCGCCATCTCGTGCTGGACGAGGCAGATCGTATGTTGGACATGGGTTTCGAGCCGCAGATCCGCAAAATCGTCGAGTGCCACACCATGCCCAAGACGGGTGAACGGCAGACCCTCATGTTCTCGGCTACCTTCCCCAAACAGATCCAAGTCCTGGCGCAAGATTTCCTCTATAATTATGTGTTCCTCGCTGTCGGACGAGTGGGGTCCACCTCAGAGAATATTACGCAAAAGGTTAGATTTATTTTGTTTTTAAAACAATTCTAATTAAAACTGACATTTATCTTATAGTATTTTGCACATGATGGTACTATATAACTTAAAATTTGATTATACATTAAATTTATTGTTATATGACATGTTTGTAAGATGTGGGTTTGTAACTGAATAGAGAGATATTATTTTTAACTTTTAAGAAAGTGTTTTGATAAAAACTTAATAATATTGTTTTATTACAATAAAGCAGTTAACAATCCAGAACAGTTTTAATCAAAATAATATTGTTCTTATAATTATTTTAACAAATTAAACTTCTATAGGTCGTATGGGTAGAAGAGCAAGACAAGCGGTCATTTTTACTGGACCTGCTAAATGCCTCCAATCTACTGCAGCGCACGCGATCTGAGGATGATCAGCTCACCCTCGTGTTTGTTGAAACAAAGAAAGGTATTCTTAATAAGACATAAATTATTACTACAAGTTTTAGATGATATATAACATACTAACACATTTAAAAGAATTTAAGTCATTTATAATAGGTCATTAACGAACTATATAAATGAAATTAGTGTATTCAAGTACACTTTAAATACGTCAAGACTTTGTAAAATTTGGCAATAAGAAGACGAGTTTCTTGCCAGTTCTTCTCGGTGGTTTTAACTTTTAAATAATAAAAATCTGTATCTATAATGATACATTATATTTATTACAATAATGTCTAAATTTAGAAGTGAAGCTGAATATTTAGTTAATGACTAACTAATGTTTTTCTTATGTTGTTTTTGTCTGATCTTGAAACATTCGATAATATTCACTAATATGTTAGATTATTAACAAAAAATGTGTTTCTATCACCAGGAGCCGATCAACTAGAAGAGTTCCTCGATAGAGACGGTTACCCAGTGACGTCGATCCACGGTGACCGCTCACAACGCGAGCGTGAAGACGCCCTTCGCAGGTTTCGCTCTGGACAAACGCCGATTCTGGTCGCTACCGCTGTCGCCGCTAGAGGTCGCTGGCTCTTTCTAACCTACAAAAAAACTATCTATCTCTTTCTCATCCATAACACACTTCAAAATTACAATATTTGGTCTATCGTAACTACAGAAAGCAATTAAATATATAGATGAGTCATAAGCTTAACCATAGCTCGTTGGTGTAATGCTAGCAGTGTATGGCTCAAAAATCAACCGGTCGTGGATTTGATCCCCACCAGCTCCAAAACTTTTCTTATCAATTTATAATTTCTATGAAATATGTTGGACTTAGTCAGGAAATCTGAATATGAAATGGTTGGAAGGGATATCGAAATGACGTCTGGGTCACGAACTACCGTCGACTGAATGGTACATCTTTCAGCTTTAGCCCCTTCTACCCTATCCCTCCACTTGCAAGGTCCAAAACTATTTGCGTGGGCAGATGACTTAACTCCATATGCTCAGGTCTGGACATCCCCCACGTGCGTCACGTGATCAACTTCGACCTGCCGTCCGACGTGGAGGAGTACGTGCATCGCATCGGGCGTACCGGGCGCATGGGAAACCTGGGGGTCGCCACTTCCTTCTTTAACGACTCGAACCGCGGCCTGGCGAGGGACCTCGTCGAATTGCTTGTGGAAGCCAAACAGGATGTGCCAAAGTGGGTACTATTCTCTCTTATACAGGGTGCTCTTATACTTTTTTTTGTCAGTCAACGGTTTATCACAATATTTACGTGATATAACTGTACCTTAAATAGGTAAAAAATAAAATTGTGTAATCAGTTACTGACAGACATAACATATAAAGTTTTACAGAGTGAAGACTATTATTACTATGATTTACTGATGGATATTCATTATATATATTATATTGAGGTTCAAAGTCCTTTATCAATTTTTAATTCAAACTAAGCTTGTTAATATGTGCTTTACATAACTATTTTAAATCTTTAGCTGGCTGACAAGCACGGCAGCGGACGGTCGAGCTGGTGGCGGCGGTAGACGCGCTGGAAGTCGCTCTGGTGGTGGCACCCGCTTCGGAGGCAGCGGGTTCGGCGCAAGAGATTTCAGGACCCAGCCCAGGCAGCAGCCAAGGTCTGCTGGACCATCTACTATGGGCAATGGTGAGTTGACTTTTTATAGTACAAGTAGTAAAATAAACATATTTAAACGAGTTGAAACGTGATTTATTTGTAAGGTTCTTTAATTTTAAATTAAAGTTAAATCTTTTCTAATACAATTACAAAATGAACCATTTAAATGAAACACTTTAACTGTTTAAAACGACATATATATTAGTGAAACTTATTTGAAAATTGTTTTAAGTACGGCCTGACGTTTCGGATGCTTTGAAGCGGCAGTTGTCACGGGAAGGTCTCCTAACGTGTCCACTGTTAAACTGTTAAAGTGTTTTATTTAAATATGTACTATTTGCGTAAACTGAATACAGTATTTAATAACCATTTCTTATCTTTTTAACTGAATCTATTCATAATCTCAAGCGTCTTAGTGATATCAACCAAACTATGCTATGAAGATAAATATTGTATATATGTATTTCCTGGTGAACATGTTGGACTTTGTTTGGATATCTGGATATTTTATGAGTGGTAATATCGAAAGTTTACCTAACTTACGAAACCAGATGATAAAGCCGTGAAGTTTCATCGCGTTTGACTCCAATGTCTAAGTCAAATCTACTACTCCGGCGCCATCTGTCGTCGTAGCTGATATTTAGGCACGAGCCCAGCCAGTAAAAAAGTAACATGTCCTCGATATCAGCTATTAATTAAATTAGTAAATACTTATATATTTGACAACCATAAGTGACAAGAAGTTGTTCTAATATAGTCTGTACTATACATATTATGTTGTGTAACTTGACAGTGGGTTACTCTGGCTTCGGTTACGGCGGCGGCTCGTACGGCGGCAACTATGGCGGGTCGTACGGGGGCGGCGGCGGCGGTGGCGGCGGCGGTCCCGACTGGTGGGACTCTTAAGCCCGCTCCCCGAAACATCACCGCTCTGACGTCACCACTCCCCATAATATAATCGATATATGACACAATGTTATAAGGTATGCCAATTTTTGCAACGTAAGAACGAATAAAATTTAATACTCTCAAATTAAATGTAAAGTAAGACCGACGAAACGAGATAAAAATTCGAGAAGAATCTGACCATAGTTTTTTTGAATTGGCAGGCAGTTCTTTTAAAGTCTGTATTTTACGCGAGTACACATTTTAATGAAACAATTTTAACCGTTCAAAACGCGAAATGTGTGAATTTGAATTGAAATTTTTTAAACATACTTACAATATATTTTAACTACGGACTGACGTTTGGGTACTTAAAGTAAATTGTAAATCAGTTTAAAACTGCGTCGTCGCGTTTTAAAAGTGTTTTAATTCAATGATTGTCATCTTTGCTTGATTTTGATGTACAGAAAAAGCGATTTACCAATACACAAGAAAGTGATTAAAAATGCTATCATTTTATTATACTATAATATTGACCCCATGTTTTTGTCTCGTTTCGTTTTTGTTTCTTTAGATATCTAAAATGTTTCTTACCTTAAGGATCCAATAGGCATGACCTTATAATATTTGTATTAAGACTTATAATGAATGTACATGGATAACTTATACTCAAATAAATAAAGGTCTTTACATAAATAATTAGTTAGAAGTTATATGATCACTCACTAAATATTAAAATCTGATCCCGTAAACAATGTTTTGCTTTAATTTCGAGCAAATTCAATGTCACATATACTGTTGTGAACATGTCTTTAGATCATTTATAAAGGAATCATTCTTTCAAACGCATGTTTTGGTTTTTTGAACCGTTTTCGCAACGCACGCGACGGAAGCCCTCAAAGATACTTTTCTCTTATATATTACCAAAAGCCTTCCTCTATAAATGGTGTACAAAAAACAATAAAAAAAAATCAAAGCAGTAGTTCCTGAGGTTGGAACGTTTAAAGAAAGTTCTGGTCTTCAATCGTTTTCTATTATATTATGTCTGTTACCTTTACGGTATTCTTTATCAATAAATAGTTCCACATTTGAATATTTGTTATGCAAACAATGTACATATTTTGAGGGTAGATATCTTTTTGCCTCATAAAGCTGCTACCATTTTTCCAGTACCAATAAAAATGTTAAGTACAGAAATGTACAGGTGTGCGGCGACCCTTATGTATCACATATGGATTTCGTTTTGTGTACAGACCTTTATTTTGCCATACAATAATATAACGTGTTATTATTGAATGTATTTTTTTTATATCGTGTACCCAGTTCTGTTAATTTGTGTTTTTCTTTATTGCCATACAGCCCAGCATTCCTTGCGTAGAACGAAAATTATAAATTTTCCCAAGTATTATTTGTATTGATTTTCCGCGATATTATTTTGAATTTTTGTAAATGACAGTACCAAAGTTTTCCGTGTATGTCTCAGTGATGTTATATGTGATGGTCACAATTTGTATTACCCCTGTAGATAGAACAAGCACGGACTCTAACGGCGGACGAAATTGTCTCAGACTGTAAGAAGTATGGTAGAGCTTCGATTGTCCGAACTAATCGAGAAACAACCGGATTATCGAGTGTTTTGTTGGATAAATTAACTGTATTCATTCGTCGGCTATAATCATACTTTTTTAATATATTACTCTTTTTATATATTGACAAACATGAATAATACAAGCGAAATATATTAGTTTGTGGATTTTGTTTTGTACCAAATTCACGAGTGGCGGTGTATCGAGGCTCTACTTCAATAATATTGAGATACACCACTGTCCGTCCGTCCGTGAACACTCGCGAACCTTAAGTTAAGATTATCGATTTATCCGCGAGTCGGTTAAAATTAACCCGTAAAATATTTATAGTTAATTGTGATTGGAGAGCGGTGCGTGAGAGTGTATGCGTAGCGATCGTTGAATCTCATGCGCGCTGAACGATCGTGGAGGTGAAAAGGGGACGTCCGTTTCTTCCCAAAAGCGGGGGTAGGGGGGGACGCTGGACAGAAATAAATACATGTATACATTAAAACGATCGGTCAACACCAGTGAAGTTCTTTTTATTGTAATAACTGAAAGTTTTCCATGTCCATCTCTGGCCCGGACGGTATGGAGAGTGGGCGTTCCCCTTTATTCATATAGATGACGGGCATCCGCGCGATGCTCGTCAAACGCTAAACGCGATCAATAATGTCTTAAATTGAAACAATGAAATAAATTATTTATTTATTATGAATAATATTGGCTTACCACTTTTGCATAGATAACTAACACAATTCATAGACAACATACTATTACTTCCCACAGAGGCGAAATTGATCGCGTTCGGCGTCCTTATCATTTCTCAATAACTATGTGAAAGTAGTCGATTAATATAGAAATATTTTTGATGTTCAAACTGTATCGTGGATTCGTTTGAAGCTATATTCTCATTCGATTTGTCTATTTTCCGATATATGTCTCCTATGGGGCCGTCCTGTAATTACGTCACGACTCCTTACCCCCTCCCCCCCTAGTAAGTAGTCTTTGACACCACCCCCTTTCCACATGTAGAGGTGTGACGTAATCGAAGGATGGACCTTCTCTGATACACAATTTCAAGCATTAATGCACTCGAGTCGATGTAGCCCTTTGATACAGTAGAAGATAGTTGAATACCGATACAGTATCATAGTAAATGTTAACTAAATTTTGTCTGTAGCAATCGCATCAACATCGTGGTATGTAATTTGAATGTGAATTTACAAATAAAAATATAAAACTGGTTCGTTTGTATTATTCCCCCATCCCAATTTCCTCTTTTCATCGTAATTACTTAAAGTTCCCCACTAAGTCCAACATGTTTCGAATACATTTATAATTTATCTGTAACATTTTGGAATTTGGATTTCTGGATATTAAATGGATAGTAGGAATATCGGAAATCCTTCTGGGCCACGAACCACATGATAAAGCCGTGATATTGAATCGCGTTTAGGCTTCAGTCTGGATATCTAAAGCCAAAGTAAGTCAATAGCGCATCTTGTTCAGATTTTACATGGCTGGGGTATTCTACCCTCCATCAAACTATCACCTACGCTTGTCTGTCCTATTAAAAAAAAAACTACAACTGGTTTTAGCTTTTCACCGCTGTACTACTCTAATACGAAGCGGCGTGCTTATCGACAGTCGTTGGAAGATTTTGAGATAATTTTTTTATAAAAAACAAATGAAGATAACAGTGTAAAGTAAAGGTTTAGATTTACATTTCAGACTAAACTGTTGTTTGTAGATTTTTACGCTAGTACACATTTACCATCTCACGGTTTGAAAACTAAATTTATTAGAAACTAAACGACCCGACGTTTCAGATGCGTAGCAGCTGTCCTATTCAAAGGGTTTTGCTTTATATCTTGGATATATAACATTAGGTACCCCCTTATTGCCTTGACGCTATGTTAGGTGATGCATTTGGTTACCAAGCAAGAGATGGCGGTACCACATTTTTAAATGACAAACGTTGTTACGTTCTCAACGAAAGCTGAAATGCACCATGTAATATCTAAGTGAGATGAGTCGTTGACCTATTTTGACATTGGACAATCGACAGAATTCGGTTTCATTGTGTCGTTTCTGTAGACGCAACTAAACTTCAGGTATATTTTTAATACTTAGTCATTTTTAGTAGATAGATATACTAATCCTTTGGTCCGTATGAACAAAGGATTACTATCCACATATTTCAGACGAAGCCCAACATTTTTTAGATTAATTATAAATTTATTGAAAATATGTTAGACTCGGCGGAAAACGAACCCTCGATCGATTATTAGCCATACATACAGTAAATCCGCCAAAATAGTTTCTCTTAAACATGTTCGGAAATTTGTGCATTTTTGTGACAATCTTCTTCGAAATAAATCGAACTCGTTACACAATCAACATGTTTAACGGTTAAATAAATTTCTATATAAAATTATATTCTATATAAAAATATATTCGAGTTGGTAATAAAAAAAAATTTAATCTACTCACCAACATGGCGACCAAAGAGGTAACTTGACAAAGGTTTTTATTTAAATTTCGAACTGGCTAGCACATAGAAAAACTGTTGAGTAAAAAAAATTTTGCTGCGTTAAACACTTGTTATTAAATACTGTCTATAGTTTACGCGAGTAGTACACATTTAAATAAAACACTTTAACGGTTTAAAACGCGATATATTAGTTAAACTTATTTGAAAATGATTTTTAACTTCGGCCCGACGTTTCGGATGCTTTGCAGCAGCCGTGGTCACGGGGAGACCCCTGACCCGGGGACACGGGGGTCTCCCCGTGACCACGGCTGCTGCAAAGCATCCGAAACGTCGGGCCGAAGTTAAAAATCATTTTCAAATAAGTTTAACTAATATATCGCGTTTTAAACCGTTAAAGTGTTTTATTTAAACACTTGTTATTAGTTTGTCAACTACTATAAAATTAATAATAATACTATTAAAAGCACGTTAGATGTATATATGTGTGTTTATTGTAGAATAGGACTTGTTCATCGCATAAGTTGATATTATATAACGCATATCTCTAGTTGTTACTCTGTGGTGGCGTCGGGGGTCACTGAAAATCAGTGTTGCAACATAAGCGTATTTGTAACGTTATGCTGAGTGGCACCTGTTTAAGAGTTACCATTTTTTTAGTCTTGTGTTACATTATATATCTTGTTCTAGTTTCAGTATAATGTAAGTTTCTAATTGGCCAAAAAAGTGAACAATGATCTAAGTCTCTAGAAGTCAGTTTATCTTTTATTATTAATTTATCTCATCGATTACAAACGTAATGGCCATTGGCTTATTGAATACATATTTTAGTGGCGCCTTTACGTTCGGAGCCCGCGTCTGGAGCGGGACCCCGCCGCGAAGGCATCCACGGAATGCTCAGAAGGTGACTCGTGGATAAATTACGGGCATTTCTTTCGTTTTAACGATTCCCCATATTATTT